GAGTCAATTCTTGGCACGGCAGCAATAACGCAACAAGTAAAAACGCAGGTTTAAAAACAAACCGCTTACCGGGGAGGGTGTCTGGATGGTTGGGCTTCTTCTTGAACAGGTTGCGTAGCGACTCGAGCCATTCGGGAAAACGACGCGCTCTCTTAGCGCGCGAACGAGGGTACCGTCCCTGCCGAAACAGACGGGCCCCGTCCAACGACTTGAGACTCTTCATGCGATCCTCAATGAAGAACACAGTCCTCCCAGCGAACTTAGATGCTGCCTCCACGCACGACGCCAGGTCGCCCCCAAACTTCTCCTTCCCGATCAGGTCCTTGTGCAGCAAGTAGGTGTGAGTCACGGGTTCTCCCGCGGTGTCGATGCTTTCGACCTTCACTTTGCGTTGCTCAGTGCTCCCGTGGTTCTTCAGGAACGTCGCAAGACGACCACTGTTGTCGCCGAAGGTGGAGCCGTACTCCACATAGCGACTTGTCAAGATCAACGTGGTGTGCTGCACCATCGGCCGAACCTGCGTCGCATCAAGCTGCACATATTAAAGAGAAACAGAATTAGTCTCGGCTCACGGAAAGAAAGAATGCAAGGTGTAACTACACGTCCTTACCTGTCGTCGCTGGAACTTGAGATTCAGGCTGTTCAGCTCCTGAAGCACGTCAACCAGAAAGAAGAGGAAAAACTGAAACTTGAGACTGGTAACAAGAGTGTACGTTGTCTTGTCGTACTCATGCAGCAGGACAACGGCAGCAGGCAGGACGTTTGCAAAGCGCTGGATGGCGTCCCCGCGCGACAGCCAGCGGACGTCCTTAATGCCTTGCATCTCCAGGTTGGTCTCTGTGATGACCTCCTGCAGCTTCTTGAATCGCGCATGCTGCACTATGCTGCGGCCGAGAATGTCCGCGAAAGACCGGACGACTTTGTCGACGACATTGAACTCGGGAAATTCTTCAGCCGCATCCTTAGCAGCCAGAGCCTCCCTGCAGTTATAACACGAGTAGGATTAGTCGGAGGACAGCAAGTGTCAGATACATCACAACAGTAGAAACAACACACTACCTGTGGGCCACGCAGTGGCACGGCACAATATGCGGCACCCGCGTTCGTAATCGCGCCACCAAGCCTGTCTGACCGCCCGTCATCACGCTCGCGCCGTCCGTGGTCATGCCGCTGATCCTTGTCAGTTCGAGGCCGCAAGCAGCAAGGTGTGTCAACAGGACCGCCTCAAGCGACGCGGCGTCGCACTTCTCAACGGACAAGTTCGCGAAGAACTCGGTAACCACCACCGTGCCACGGAGAAACGTGGCATACACAATCATGTGTTTGCCACGCCTTCGGTCGGTGCTTTCATCAAGTTGGAGGCCAACGAAGGGACTGATGCTGATGTGCTGCATCTGCTTCGCCTTCAAGTAGCACACCAGCGTTTCGACCAACTGCTTGAAACCATACCTGCGTCAACGAGGACACAAAAGAAATGGTAAGTAAGGGGTATTCAGAAACCACAATGATGTGAACATATAAACTCACGTTGAACAATAAGTCCCTTGGTCCTTGGCCGGCATATCTGGCGTCCCCATTTCTGCCATGAACTGCACGAGTGTCATGAACATGACAATGGGGGTGTCGGATTTGCAAAGGAAACGCACGGTGAGAAACAGCTGTATCAAACGCCGAGTTTCCGCACTCTTATCTCCAAAGTTGGAGATAGATGCCCGCCTCTTCTGCGGGGCTTCACGCTGCTCCAATCGGTCCTTCGCCTCCCGGTGCCGGATGCTCCACTGATGCTTCCTCATCGTCTGCTTCTGTATGTCGATGCCTCCCTCGCCCCGAGCGCCGTACTGTGACTCAGGATCTGCGTACACCATGCAGATCTTGCACCTCATGCAAGGTCGACCTTCGGCGGTGTCACCGATGATGAGCCAAGGGAAGTGGCGGCTCCACTGCTGCTTGGCTTTTAGCTGCAGCTCCTCTAGTGACAGAATCTTCGGTCCGGCATTCTTGGACCCGCGGCGCTCCCCTCCATCTTCCTTAGTTGTGGGATTCCCTGCAGAGGAAGGGCTTGGGCGTTTCGAAAACGGAAGCTTATTTTGCACAAATTTGGTCTTGCCAGTAAACCGCGGCGGGAGAAACGGAGAGCGGGATTGGAATGGATTTTTTCTAGCCGGAACAGATGATGCGACAGGTTGACCGGATGGCGAACCCCCATGGTGGCTTGATGTGGTTGGTGATCACACGGGTGAAAATGGTATGAGCGGCTCGGCATCCATCTCAGCGAAAGGGTACGGCTGCTCGGCAGAATCGAGTTTCTCATTCTGACAGGCCGAAGGAGCAACAGCAGCAGCTGGGACTGGAGTAGGGGTGAAACCCCCCCCCCGTAAGGAAATCCAAGCCAGTGCGTGGGCGGGGCAACGCACTGGAAGGAGGTGAAGCATGCAGAGTGGATGCTGGAGGGGCCTCTGTGCGGGGGTCTACTGCCATCTCGGTGGAACTATGCACCGACTGGCTCTAGCTCACGAGGGTAAGATGAAAGTCACCTAATGCTGTGGGGAGTGAGGGGGGACCGTCCGAACCGAGCCGCATGCATGAACGTCCTCTTCTCTGCTGGAAGCAGCCACGCCATCCATCCCTCGCTGACCCGACGCGCAGTGAGGGCTGTCGGTGTTGCAAATGCAGCCTTCTGCCGTGCGCTGGCACGAATATGCCAAACGAACTGGCAAGATTCGTGCCAGCGGGGTGACTGCGGCGCAGTGACGTGCGGTGGACCGGTGGTGTTGTCACCGACCTCGGCAATGTACAGCCTGCCGGTGGCATCAAGGTAACGCGGCGGGTGGCTAGTCTCGTCCGTAACTGGCCAGGTGGGCAACTGGCCAGGTGGGGGCATTTGTCTGTTTCAGACGAAAAAAAAACTCGATGTCTGCAGTCTCAGGCGAATCGTATAAGGCTGTCTGACAAATCAGACGAATAAAAAAAGTTTCTCTTAAAAATCAGATGACATAAAATAGCTTGTCTACGGCATCAGACGAACCAGTAAAAAGGTGTTCAAATTCCAGAAATTCAGACACATAATTTCTGATAAAGTAAGCCCTGCAACCCATCGGTCAACGCGCCGAGAAGGCATCGCGCGGCTCGAATGGGTTTCGCGTCGTGTGCATTTTGCCTCGTGTCGCTTTCGAATGTGTGCTGAAATTCACATCGACATTCGCCTCATCCAATTTGTTTGGCCGCGCTCCGCAAGATGATGGAACCGTTCCAAAGTACTTAGCACCCCTCACAAACGAAGTGCACCATGAGTTCGAAGCTGTATGCGCTTCGACGCTAGGACTTGTAATTAGATTACGTGTGGTTGGAATATGTTTTGGAAAGATTATGAGCGGTCACGGCTAATCTCACAACGGTTTGTCTGGGTTTATTTTAGAATATATGTATATGTGGACCTGTTATTTGTCCCTACTCCCGTTGACATGTTCGAGGTCAACTGGTAGTACAACATCCACCTGCACTAGTATGTTCATGCTGCTGTTTTTCCTCTCGAGTTGAAGATTAGCTCTTCTCGCCTCGTGAACCTCTTACACCCTCACCGGCCCAGCTGTGGTCCCTGGCGGAGCTTGAGGAGCTCACTTCGGAGCTCATTGCGCAACCTTTCGGCTCTTCCAATTGATCTCCTCCCAGGTTAGTCCTTCCTCACGCAGTCACATCTTTTTCCAGCCGTTTCAGTTGTGGTTAAACCAACGTGAATTATGAACCCAATTTATTGGCGTTTAGGCGACGCGAGCCGGTCTGCACCTTGAAACAAAACGCTAGCTGTGGCAAGCCGTGAATGCGGAGAGCCTGGGACATGAGAATCTATGCGCAAACACCTGAACACACTTACTGGATGAGCTACGCGCCGTGCAAGTGATGCTCGTCAAATCTCCTCACCCTGTTCGCGCCGGGCGGATGCACGGTGTGCGTGATGCGCTGCGCGCCGTGCAAGTGATGCTCGGCGCATCACCCTCACCTTGATCGCGCCGAGCGGATGCACGGTGTGCGCGATGCGTTGCTCGCCGTTAAAACTCGGCGCATCACCCTCACCTGAACCTCTTAGTTGGATGCGCGTCGACAGTAGGACATGTTGCGAGACCGAGCGAGTGCGGTTGGAAATGGTTTGTTAAGTATTCAGAGACCCCGGGGCATGAGAGGTGTGCAAACCTCTGAACACACCGAGCGGATGCACGGCGCGCGTGATGCGCTGCGAGCCGTGCAAGTGATGCTCGGCGCATCACCTCATCGGTATAACGCCGAGCGGATGCACGGCGCGCGTGATGCGCTGCGAGCCGTGCAAGTGATGCTCGGCGCATCACCTCATCGGTATAACGCCGAGCGGATGCACGGCGCGCGTGATGCGCTGCGGGCCGTGCAAGTGATGCTCAGCGCATCACCTCATCGGTGTATCACGCCGAGCAGATGCACGGCGCGCGTGATGCGATGCGCGCCGTGCAAGTGAACGCTCGGCGCGTCCTGGTAACACGCCGACAGTATGCACGGCGCGCATGCGCGGCGCTCCGTGCGTCAGCAGCTTGGCGCAAGCCGTTCAACACGCAGAGCAGATGCACGGGGCGCATGCGCTGCGCGCCGTGCTGGTGTTGATCGCCGCATCTTCACAAACGCACCGAGCACATGCTAGGCGTCCCTTCATTCCCATTCTCTCCCCGCCGTGTTTATCTCTGCACTTCATTCTCGCTCTCGCGCCCGCAGGGTATCTCCGTGCCCCAATTTGTTTGGCCGCGCCACACACCCCGTCGTCCCTTCATTTCATTCCTCCTCTGGGCCCCTCATTCTCTCCTCATGCCCTTGAATCCATCTCTGTTGCGATCAGACACGCGGATAATTAGTGAACACGCATTATGCTCGGCGCATCCAGATGCCTGCGCCGAGCGGATTCACGGCGCACATGCGAGGCGCGCCGTTAATCCGATGCTCGTCGCATGGCGAGGCTTGCGCCGCGCGGATTCACGGCGCACATGCGAGGCGCGCCGTTAATCCGATGCTCCGCGCATGCCGTGCCCTTCTTTCGTTCCCTCTGCCATCCATTCCCTCACCCCGCCGTCCCCGCTCTCTGTCCTCTTTGCCTTCCCTCTGCCCTCCATCCCGTCACCCCGCCATCCCATCTCTCTTCCACTATGGCCCGCTCTCTCTCCCGTCATTCTCTCTCCCTGCTGTTACTCTCTTTCTCGTCATTCGCATTCCCTGCCGTTCCTCCCATCTCCCTGCCCCTGTTTCCTTCTCACTCTGCTGTCATTCGCATTCCCTGCCGTTCCTTCCATCTCCCTGCCCCTGTTTCCTTCTCACTCTGCCGTCATTCGCCCTCCCTGCCCTTCCTTCCCTCTCCCTGCCCCTGTTTCCTTCTCACTCTGCCGTCATTCGCCCTCCCTGCCCTTCCTTCCCTCTCCCTGCCCCTGTTTCCTTCTCACTCTGCCGTCATTCGCCCTCCCTGCCCTTCCTTCCCTCTCCCTGCCCCTGTTTCCTTCTCACTCTGCCGTCATTCGCCCTCCCTGCCCTTCCTTCCCTCTCCCTGCCCCTGTTTCCTTCTCACTCTGCCGTCATTCGCCCTCCCTGCCCTTCCTTCCCTCTCCCTGCCCCTGTTTCCTTCTCACTCTGCCGTCATTCGCCCTCCCTGCCCTTCCTTACATCTCTCTGCCCCTGTTTCCTCCTCTCTCTGCCGTCATTTCATCTCCCTGCCCTTCCTTACATCTCTCTGCCCCTGTTTCCTTCTCACTCTGCCGTCATTCGCCCTCCCTGCCCTTCCTTCCCTCTCCCTGCCCCTGTTTCCTTCTCACTCTGCCGTCATTCGCCCTCCCTGCCCTTCCTTCCCTCTCCCTGCCCCTGTTTCCTTCTCACTCTGCCGTCATTCGCCCTCCCTGCCCTTCCTTCCCTCTCCCTGCCCCTGTTTCCTTCTCACTCTGCCGTCATTCGCCCTCCCTGCCCTTCCTTACATCTCTCTGCCCCTGTTTCCTCCTCTCTCTGCCGTCATTTCATCTCCCTGCACTTCCTTACATCTCTCTGCCCCTGTTCCCCTCTCTCTCTGTTGCCATTCCCTCTCCCTAGCTTTCCCTACCACTATTCTTTGTTTGAACAGTACAGGGCAATGGTGTACAGTTGCCCCGATTGTCCTGCCACGGGCTTCACAACAAGAGGGAACGTAACCAACCATCGGTATGGCGGACGTTGCCCCGGGAATGCGCGTCATGCGGCTGCGGCAAACAGTGGCAACCCATTCCTCATGACACGGCACAATGCCGCCTCTATGCCATCCCCCAGCCTCTCTATCCCCTCTCCCACCCCCTCCATTCCCTCTCCCACTCTCTCCATGCCCTCTCCTCCGCGTGCCGCGGTAGATCCGGAGCCTCTACGAGGCAATGAGGGATCGACGCATGACAACATGGTGCCCGACTCATTCCATCCAGCCCCCACTCCCTCAAACAGTGTTGAGTCGACACCGGATGTGTTGCCCGATGATGCCACCTCTGTCCATACAAATGGTGAGGCCGAGGGCAGCACAAACGATGGTGACGAGAGCCCGTCGTTTGTTTTTTTGGATGCATTTGTGCATTGGTTGCTCACTTGTGGCGTTTCCAAGAAGAAGGTTGACGAGTTGCTACAAATTTTTAACCACCACGGTGCATGTCTCGAGCAATTGCGCGAGCTCCGAAACATGAGAGACGTTGAGAAGTATGCCGACGACCACGCTCCCGATGCGCATCGGAATTGGAAAAAGGCAAAGGTGCGTCTCGCAGGAAAGCCCATGCTTGATTATTTTTTTTGTGATGGCATTCAATGCATCAAAGATATCTTGACTCACCCTAAGGTGGCTCCTAAACTTGTCTTGCATCCCACCCCACGTGAGTCGGATGCCACACATGTGTACTCCACCCCCGAAACGGGGGATTGGTGGAAAGCTCTCGATGAGGAGATTATAAAAGAGGACCCCAACGGGGTGGTGTGTGCACTCATCTTAGCAAGTGATGAGACGCATTTGGACCATCGGGGCAAAGCCAAGGGCCATCCGGTATATCTTACATTGGCCAACATTGATAAAGATGATCGGTGGAAACCATTTGGTCATGTTTTACTCGCTCTCTTACCTGAATATCCATCGGAATATAATTCGGATGACAAGCTTTTCATTTTCCAACATGTCATGCGTACCGTATTAGAGCCCTTAATAAAGGCTTCCCACCATGGTGTTCCTATTGTGGAAGAGTCCGGTGCATCTTACAATGCTTGGCCCGCCCTCTATGCATATGTTGCCGACTACCCCGAGACATGCAAGGTGTCGTGCACCAAACAAGGGTGGAACACAAGCCATCCTTGTTCCATTTGCACCGTCTATAAGGACAACATGAAGGATTTGATCGATCAACCAAAAGCACGTTTGCCGGTCATGCAAAAGAGTATCGTTGCACTCTTGCAACGACGTATGTTACCTACGGGTGAGAACAGGGAGCTCTCAACGCACCCAGTGAAGAGTTTCCTCTGGGGGTGGTGTTTTGAGTCTCATGTCCTTCTAAACCCGTATCTCTGCCTTATGCCCGACATTATGCACCAAGCTGATTTGGGCATCCTAGAGTATATCATTGATGCCATTCGAGCTCAGTGCACGGACACGGAAAGGGAGGTGTTGGATAAGCGCTTGAATTTTTATAAGGCTATCAACCGAAACCCGCACTTGAGGCTCCCTTCGGGTTCATACTTTAGCAATGGTGCGTCTTACCAGGCATACGAGCATCGAAGTGTCATGCAGATTCTTCCATTCATTGTCAAGGGATATGCAAGTGACGAGCAGATTGCAAGCATCATCACGTACATTGAGTGGTACACCTTCTGTGCGCGCGCCTCCGAACATACCGTGGCAAGTTTTCGCGAGTTGAAGCTTTTGGCGAGCAGGTATGTTTCTCTTTGCAACGTTAGTCAACATATCCAAATATGCATGCGTTTAATCGGCCAATAACCGCGTGTGTGTTGCATTCTACAGGATGCTTCGAGGCCTTGAGGCGTTTACGCAAAAATCGAAGTGGAACATTATCAAGGTGCATCTGGTCAGCCACTACATCGACGCTATCCGTCGGGCGGGACTTCCGGAGCATTGGTGCGCTCAATTATTTGAGCATCTTCACATAGAGTATGTGAAGAACCCCTACCGAGCGTCGAACAAACGCAACGCCACTGCTCAAGTCATGAATGCTGAGGTCAACAGGCTGCGGTTGCAAGCGCTCGCACCGCAGCTTGGCAAGCGGAAGCGGTACGACACGGCAATGCTTCGGGTAAGTCCCTTGCTTGAATACTTAAATCATTACTTTTTTTTTATTTTCAAACTCTTTTGTTTCCCTAACTGTACTTCGTTTCTTTTTATTACCTTTTGCAGGCCATTTCAACTGGAACGAGGATAGTCTCGCGATCCAGCTGGAAGCTGGTGGTCCTGCCGAGGCGTCCCACTCCGCCCTTTGTGGAACCTGTGGCGCCAGACTCAGTGCGCGACGCCGCTTTCAACACGCAGCTGGGTGGCGACCTGCAGCAGCTGCGATGCACCCTCGATGCTGCACCTGGATGCAACGGGAGCAATGTCCACGTCATCCAGGTGAGTGAAGGGATCCAGGCTGTCTCCTAGTTTCGAGCAAGTTAGATGTTTTTTCGTTTGTTTCCGTTTCGCTTCAAAGCCACTTGTTTCGAAGCCAGTATCTGCACAGTGGTGAACCATCGCGGAAAATTAGACGCGACCCTTACGCGTCTACAGTACTGAACAGAGACCCCCTAGGTAACAAAAATGAGATTTATAAAAATATGAAGCATACATTATTTTTATTTTTATTTACCCTCTTCTACACTTGCAGGTCCACAACGAGCTCGCCATGCCCTCGGCGCTGGATGCTGAGTTCGGACGGCTACCTCATCGGGTGCGGGCTGTCGCCAATTTCTATGGACGGCCATGGTACTCCGATATTGCTGTGAAAGGTCCGTTGGTCAATGGTGTTCACGACGAGTGGTATGCCAAAGCTCTGATTATCTTCCAGTTGCGAGACGGCTCAGAGCTGAAGCCATACACATATATAAAATATTATCGCGAGCTACCAGACAAAGACGCAGCCACTGGATGCGCGCAGCTGCGTTGGGACTTACAACATCGACGATACCAAGTGATTAGCATAGACAGCATACTGCGTGCTGTGGACCTGGTACAGCCGGATGCGAACGACCAATTATGGCTTGTTAATAGATTTATGTTTTAAATTTATTCTGACTATTTCATTGTTAACTGTCACAGAAAGTTCTACGATTGTGTTTTTCTCGATTGAATATTTACAACTGTCTGCCCATGAGACTTATTGCTAGAGCTCGTCGAAACAGTGTTGTGCGCGTAAATTGTGTAGTGTCAAGTGTTACACTTCAATTGAAAGAAAGTCTCGACTGCCCGGTTAATGCCCAAGATTAATATGGCAGCTCCAACTCGGCTCTCGCACACATCTCGCGACCGTCGCACGAAATCGTTCTGACCGTATATGCAGCACAGCTGGCAGTCACTCATCGCCATACGGCCATTCTCCCGCCATAAACGACCAGAAACCAAGCCTGTGCGACAGAGTTCATCATCGCACGCTGAGACACATGACCGGATTCAAGCTCCTCAAGCGGGTTTTCGCTGCCATGACGGACGACGATGACCAGGGGGTCACACTGCATCGTGATGGGCCTGCTGATGATAGTGATAGCGAAGACGGGGTGAACCTGGACGACATGCTCGGGTACATGCAGCATCTGAAACAGCAAGGGGTGAAGCTCGGCAAGAAGAAAAAGAAGAAGCAGGCTCGTATGAAAGATCTCTTGGCGCAGGGCGATGACACTGCTGGGCCTTCGAACTCACCTACTAATGAAGTCGCTCCTGCTTCTGCGGCGGAACCTACGCCTGCTACTATGACCGCCGTAGCACCTACCGCCGTAATCGATCGTGCCGCCCCAACCGTTCCCTCGCCTCTCACTGCGAGTGCCGGTACTGCTGCCGTAGCAACGACTGCCGTTTCCACTGCTGGACCCGCGAGTACGGAACCTACCCCTGCCGTTACCAACCCGGTGGCCGTCTCGGCTCCAACGGTTGTCCTCGCAGTGGACGAGGCTACCACGAATGCTGACACTTCCGCCATTACCGCCTCAGCTGCTGATGACGCAACACGCGGATCGACTGCCGGCCGAGTGATTGCCTCATCGTTGGGGTTTGCCATCCCAGTGAATCACCGCACCAGTACGATTTACTCTGTTTCCATGTTGTATTGATCGCGGCCCTTACGGCGTGGATTATGTTTGCTTCTGCCGTTATGTTATTACTAACCGAGATTTTTCCCTGGTTGTATTTGTTCCGTGTGGCAGTCGTGCCGGCCGAGCAAGCAGTAGCACAAGAGACCTTCCGTCTGCAGGGACAACTCGACGACCTGCGAACAACGCTGAGGCGCACGCAGGAGCGCGAGAGAGAGTTGTCGAACCTTCTCTCGGAGCGGGACGCCGAGCTGGCAGCGCTCAACCAGCGGTGTGCTGAGGCCATCCGGTTGAACGAGCAGCTCCTGCAGGACCTGTCCGCCGCCCAGGGTACGGCACTCATATGTGCCCCGCGTCCGGCATCGCCCTCGTTCAATATGGAGCGGATCCCTCGCGACGCCAACGGAGCACTCATTATCCCTGCCCTCGTCAGTCATGACAATCATTTCGGGGTAAGTCTCACATTTCGGTGTTCTTTTGTATGCGGTTTCCGCGAGTTGTATTCCTCTGTGTTTATTGGGTATCTCCATCTTCTTGCATTCTCTCATTTCCTCTATTATCCGTCTCGTTAATATGCAGAAAAAGGCAACCGAGGCGATCACGTATCTTATGCTGGATGCGCCAGCTCGTTCCATGCAGTTCTACCCCGAGTGGGCAGAGTTCCGCGAGGTCATCTGTATGAAGTACGAGGCCGCGGGAGTTTCATCAGACGTTTTCTACTACGTCATCAGCAACGACCCCAACAAAGAGGCGCTGGCGATGCGGAAGGTGTCGGAGAGGCGTTCTAATGTCAACGCGGACGCCAAGGTCTATGGCAGAGGTCCTGGTGGGTGCATTCCGGAGAGCAAGTGGCACATTCTCGCGGAGGAGAATGTGGCGCCGTCCATCTCGCGTACCCCTGCGGAGTGGTGCCGTTTCTATGAACATCGTGAGTTACATATTGCCCGTTTCACTGAGTTTGTGTGTCTTACGCAATCTGTAAGTTTATAGCTGTTTCTTTACTCTCTTTCCTTCTGTTTTTGCAGCTGTATATGGGCCTGGTGCTAGCTGGCATTTCTGTGCGACAAGCAACCGCCCGTTTGCCAACCTCGCTTTCCAGCTGACTCTTCTTCGTGGGCTTGCCAGCAAGCGTGCAACCATGCTGCACGTGAAGATCCCTACTGTGGGCTACATCCTAAACGTGGTGAGTGTGTGTTAATTGTGCTTGTATTGGTTTGTCTTTTAAAAACAATTTGAGTAAACGTTGCTTGCCTGTTGCAACTGCAGGTGGAGTGGCCCTTGGTGAACGCAAGGGGGCGCCAGAACCCGTCTCTTGACACTGCGGAGGCAGTGAACCGCCAGAATGTGGCGCACAAGATCGACCAGGTGGTTGCCTGGATTGCGGCAACGTACAACGCCGGGGATGTGGCTATTTGGGACTCCAGGCCCCCTGCTGGCTTCAACATGGGCCCCAGGATCAAGATCCTGGTGGAGGGCTATGAAAGGGAGATTTTCCCTAATGGAACCCCACCTTACAAGTCCTAGTTTAGGTAGTGGTTAGGTGTACCTGGTGCTACAGTAGTTTAGTTTAATTGTTAGGTGTAGGAGCTGCTAACCGGAGTTGTAATGGTAGTCTGTTGCTGTTGCTGTTAGTATGAAGTATTGGATCTAATTCTGAGTACGCATTAACGGGTTTCTGAGTAATGTTATCAAAATGGTGGTTGAATTGGTTTTCTGTTGATAATAGAATTTAAAAATATATTTTTACACTACAGTGAACTACAGTAATTATCAAGTTTATTGACAGATCGACATTGCGACACTGAATTAAAGCAACTAGGGCTGTAACCCGGTTGGTTACAGACTATTGTAACTTCAACTCAAGCACTCGATAATCCATCACGAGTTACAGTAACAGAGCAACATATCGAAATGTAACCGCGCGCACTATGCCAAATCAGCCGCGTAAATATTCGGGCCAGGTCATCAACGAGGTGGATGACATATGGCCATCCGCAGGATACTCTGTATATCGATCACACACAACCGCACATTGTACCCCCCGTGTGTGGCAAAGCACCTCGATCCTTCGATGACTGGGCATCACCAGCCCTTACTGTTCCTACTGAATCCACACATACGAAACCCATCGACGGAGCGGTCAATCGTGGGTGGCAATCGGCCTAACCCATCACACGTATATGGTCTGTTCGAAAATTCGCCAGAACCCAACCTCAACAACCCGAACTCTTCTAAAACACCCCAAACCAGGCGACACAACTTTCTGATGCGGACATCCAATTCCTTCCGTGAGTCATTGCCGGATTTAGCTCCCCCTCAGTAGCGGGATTTGCGAGCAGTGCATCAGAAGGAGCGCTGCCAAAAAGCAAGGTTATCAGTTCGGTAGTAGTATCCATCGTGTTTGGGGCTGGGTGCCCACGGGTCGCGGCTGCCATCCCGGAAATCGAAGATGCCATGGCAGTGCTCATGAGTCGAAGTGGCAGTGAAACGCTAGCAGCAGCAGCTCGGCTTAGGGGGATAGATGGGATGGGATGCGAAGCGATCGCCGAGTCAGTCAGTGAAGCGAGGTTGACAGGCTTCGCATCCAATAAGGCGCTGACAATTTCGTCAGGGTTGAGAAAAATGGCGAGCGAGGAAACTCTTAGGTTTGCAGAACTCTACTGTATTGGTGAAAAGTATACCAAACCCTAATGCACTGGGCGAAAGGAATGCGCCTATCTGTTCCTAGTGTGTTTGGCAGTGACTGGGAGGAAAATTCCATGAAGGTGCCGTAAATGCGCGCTGTTAGGATACTCCCCTCCAAGCGTCTCCGCCTTCTGCGCTTGCAGGCAGTGTTTCAGCTCGTGCACTGAAGCCCAAGCCAACTCGGTCGGGATTGCTTGGTGGGCAAGCATAGAGGGAGTGAAGCCAAGTCCATCGCGCCACATGTCCCCAAAGTAGCATTTCATTTCTGTCGTCGACGAAAGCGGACGACACGTTGGTAACCCTTTCTAGGTTCGAAATCAGAAGCCTCGCCTAAAACAGCTGTGAAACTCGGGCTCCCAACCTCAAGTCCCAGTTGGTGAGTGGAGGGCCTTGTTTCATCGCGATTGTGTAGTCACTTGAACGAGCTATCGTTTGTGCTTGTGATTTCGTGTAACAATGGTTCACAGGCTGGTGCGAAGCAAACTTCGTGATAGAGGAACGTGATTCCTTCAACCCACTACACCAATCAGAACGAAAGCTTTGCGTTGACTTGGACGACGACCACTTAAAATGTAGAATCATGCGCTGAAGCAACCGACGATGGTCCGACTCCAAAGATCTGGGGGTCGATCTCACATGGAGCATCTCGTCCACCATGGACGGTGGGAAAGACTCGGTATACCCCACCACGTTTACCTCACAAAACCGTCGTCATTCATCTGTTCTCTCATGCGTTTACAGAACGCATCACTGCTAATGAAAGCGGCGAGTCGCGCGGTCCAGGCCTTCAAATAAACAAACCGATTTAGATTGCGCACAATCGTTCTCGACCGCATTCGCTGAGCAGTGACAGTGGGAGAGGCAATGGCAGTGGTGAGAGGCAGTGGCAGTGGCGAAGAAAACGTCGTGACTGGAGGGTAGAGGAGAGGAGAGCTTCATCAACATCACAGCCAGCACGTAAAACTGATTTTGGCTCGGTGGGACACGGATTTGCTCAGGGTGGATCCCACGGTGGAACAGCTTCGATGGACCACCAAACCTGAACTAACCTGCCACGTATGCCTCGCTCGAATTTCACTTGTCACCTGCTCGGCATGAAACAAATATTCGGGATTCAACACGCTGGAAATTCAAATTCGTGCCGAGTCGACGCCACTACAAACCCGAGCCGCGCATCGGGCACCACCCCACCGAAGCGCCCTTTTCAAAAAGCCCGCCAATTTCAAGGCTCTACTGTAAGTAGGTCGAGAGTAAGTTGACACAATTAGTTCTGTTTCGTTGATAAATAATTACTACTGCGATTACTTTCTTCAGACACGTTAGCTAACCATAGGAACGTCTCACCTTCTTCTACGTCCATTCCTTTCACGTGTGTTTTTCTACGTCCTGAATTATTCGGCATAATCTTCTCGATAGAACCACCGTTAAAACCACCATTAAAACCAACGGGTGCACTACAATTATGCGATCCACCAGCCAGCTGCAGAATCCCGCTCTCGCTCTTTTCCTCTCTCCGTACGATTTGACGGAACAGCATTTGGAGTGTCAGCCGGCTAGCAAGCCCCCGGGGAAACAGCAGCCGCCGCTCGGACTGCAAGTAGCTGAGGACGACTCAAGCGAGTGTGACTATAACGGGAGTGAATGCGACGACATATGTTCCACAACCGCGACATTTTCTTGTTTTCCCCCTCTCTCCACCGTATCGTCCACAGCGGACTCGTTTTTCCCCGCGGGTTCTCTTTCGCCTCAAGTCCACACTTCCGCGCTGCGCGTAAGTAAAAACATGAGTCGTTGTAATCCATCGTGTCATCAATTTGTTACAAGCAAAAGCATTACACTCGGAAGTCAACCCAACACATTATTGCACAAAGGAACACAACATGAGTAGCAAAACATGCAAGGAACACATGAGTAGCAAAACATGCAAGGAACAAAACATGAGTAGCAAAACATGCAAGGAACAAAACATGTGTAACAAAACATGCGAGTTTTACTGGCACGTAATATACAGTATGCAATGGGCTTTAGGAACCCTGTGTACGACCCTGTTTATCTCCCTTCGCGGCAACACCATCAACGGTTATCATCAATGGTTGTGTTCGCCAACAAGCTCAGGTCGCCTCTCGGGAACATCATCAACTCTCAATGTCGCCTTGCAGCTTCGGACACTGCAGCGGTAGTACTTCCTCAAGAAGGGAGCTTTCCCTTTCGGCGTAATGACCTTGTTTCCGTTGTTGTACCACTTGTAGTTTGGATCACTCTGGCTCGGTGCCGTGCTTGCAGCTGCAGACGTATCAGCTGCGGATGCATTTGGACCGGAAGCAGCAGACTCGGCAGCGGTAGGAGCGGCAGGTGCTGATGTGGACGGAGTCGTTGTCGTCCTATGGGTGGGTGGGGTGGTAGAAGCGGGAGAGTGACTGTATGGGAGGGTTGGGGTGGTAGAAGCGGGAGAGTGACTGTATGGGGTGGTTGGGGTGGTAGAAGCGGGAGAGTGACTGTATGGGGTGGTTGGGGTGGTAGAAGCGGGAAAGAGACTGTATGGGGTGGTTGGGGTGGTAGAAGCGGGAAAGAGACTGTATGGGGTGGTTGGGGTGGTAGAAGCGGGAAAGAGACTGTATGGGGTGGTTGGGGTGGTAGAAGCGGGAGAGTGACTGTATGGGGTGGTTGGGGTGGTAGAAGCGGGAGAGTGACTGTATGGGGTGGTAGAAGCGGGAGAGTGACTGTATGGGGTGGTTGGGGTGGTAGAAGCGGGAGAGTGACTGTATGGGGTGGTTGCGGTGGCAGAAGCGGGAGAGTGACTGCATGGGGTGGTTGGGGTGGTCGAAGCGGGAACGTGACTGTATCGGGTGGTCGAAGCGGGAAAGTGACTGTATGGGGTGGTTGGGGTGGTCGAACCAGGAAAGGAGCCACATGTCTTCATGATCTTCGCCCTCTCTTTTCCCCTCTCCCTTATCTCCTGAATTTCCTGTTCTGAAAGCTTTCGTTTCCCCGCTTTGGAAGCTTCCAGCCCTTCCGTCAGGAAATTGTTGCTTATGTTCCGAGCTGAATCCAGAGGGAGTAAAGGGGCGCGATGCCGTCGACGCATGCAGTTAGGGTTACACCGATACTGCTGAGGTGAGCCACTGATGCTTCCAGACCCGCTATTACACGGTGCCGAATTTCGCTGCGAGCTGGTGGCCGACGCAGCCCCGGCGCCGTCAGTGCTACCACTCGCACCCGCCTGACTTCTGTGCCGCTCTCTCTGCTGCAGCAGCTCGGTGATGGTCAGCCCCGTGCCAACGGCAGCTCCAACGGCAGCTCCAACGCCAGCAACCAGGCTCCCGTGCTGCTGCTCTGCCGTGGTGTCACCGTTTGCATCAGCAGCATCATATGTAGCATCGGCGTCAGCGTCGTCAGCATCAGCAGCATCATATGTTACGGCGTCAGCGTCGTCAGCATCAGCAGCATCATATGTTACAGGGTCAGCGTCGTCAGCATCAGCAGCATCACTATCAACGACAGCAGCGCCACCTCCCCCACCCTGGCTCCCGTGCTGCAGCTCTGCCGCGGCGCCGCCTTTTGCATCAGCATCGACATTATAAACAGCATCAGCGTCTGCATCCGCAGCATCAGCGTCTGCATCGGCTGCATCAGCACCATAAATACCACTGACGGCAACGCCAACGCCACGGGTCAGGTACCGCTGCGCTGCCGTGGTTTCGCCTTTTGCACCAGCATCGATGGTTAATATAGCATCCGCGTCAGCTTCGGCAGCAGCACCATAGATTCCACTGACAGCAACGCCAACGCCAGCACCCTGGCTCCCGCGTTGCTGCTGCGCTGTCGATGCCGATTCGATTCCCAGACGCGGAGTCCCCGTCTGCTGAGAAGAATCGCCGCCTATAGCGGCGGGATTCACGGCTTGTGTTGCGGGCAGAGAATCTAAAGAAGCGTCGACGAGTTGAAAGTTGGACGTAGCGGGCAAGGCGGCGGTCATCAATTCGCTAGCAGATAATGCTTGGGAGTGGCCCGTCGTGTCGTTTCTCCGGAATGCGTCCGCCGCGGCGCGGTCATCGTGCGCAGCATGAAGTTTTTCAGGCTGAAGAAAGAGCAGTTCGGAAAATAGTGCACTCTGTTCGTAGGACGACGATCCAAACACCTCTTCAATGACGGCCGCCTCTTCGTTGTCGTTGCTGCTAGTTCCCAAGTGGCGGAGGAAATCCGACCATTCGAGCAAGTCTTGTGCATTGCTCGTGAGTGGGATGGCGGTTGCGTCTCCAATGGTGGCCGCCTCCTCGCCACTCGCGTTGATGGTTTCGGTGCCCGCTTCCCTCGCCGAGCTGAAATTCGCAAGAACAGATAAGTCAAGATATTTGTTCACGATTTGGATGTGTTGATTCGACATGCCAGCGATTTGCTTGCAACGAATCCGTTTCGGGGGGTGAGATGGGATGGATACGAAGCTATCGCCGGGTCACCATCTACGTGGGGCTGACTGGCTTCGCGTTTAGAATGCAAAAACGCTTCACGATCCAGACAGGCGCTGACGAATTCGGCAGGGCTGAGAGATCAGAGGTGGAACTCTTGTATCCCTGCAGATCTCCCTTAGCATTCGCGGGACATGATTCACCTTGGGATGGGAGTGGGTTTGGGGATGTGGGGGGGGAGGGGGGGGGGGGGGGGGGGGGTGGGCGTTGGCGACGAAGCGCACAGGTGGCGCTGACCATATGACTCCGCTTTTTACTTTCATCTCCGACCAAATCAAAGCAAGGATTACTACGGCCAGCCTTTCAAGCTGCCAGAGGCTCAAGCAATCACGAGTGGTCCGACCGAATGGAGGACAGTCACGTGGTCTCCATCTTTTGAGGTTCCCTTGTTTACTGCACAACTTTTGATCAGAAACCCTCGAGGTTTCCTTTTACTGTTCAGTATAACCAAGGGTGGTGGCGGCAACAGCATAACTGGGAGGAGTGTAGTGACATGGCCATAAGCGTACAGGCCTATCCATGCGCTGAAGCATGGTGTGTAACATGAGAGATGTGGACAAGTGGACGGCGCCGCATCTTTCCCAAGTGTCGCACATTCTTCCCCTCACGAATCACGACACGATCTCTGTCGTCTGCAACAGCGAGGGCTTTCAGTTCAGTCCAGTTCAGAGTGCGAGCAGAAACTGGGCGCTGGTTGTTTTGTTCGTAGCTCCGCCCCTCGGGGGGTCCGTGGGGGCGCTGTGCTAGTTGAGGTCCGTGCAGGCGCTGGTCGAGGTCCGTGGGGGCGAGGTGCGGAGGACGGACCTCTCTCGACAGAATATCCCAGCGGAAACGGGTCGTCAAGCCTGACGACCTGTTGACGACTTGACGACATGCTGCCCCGGGCAGAAAAAAACTAAACCCCTATCGGATGGCATGCCATCCGAGGGAGGCATCAACCCTAAACATCCATGCCTCCCTGTGTTTAGGGTTGATGCCTCCCTGACCGGATGCATGCCCGAATGGGTTTTATTTTTTTTGCCCGCGGGCAGCGAGCTCCCCCGGGCGGACTCGCTTGTCCGCTGAGCGAAGCAACATTGCCCTCAAAGCAAGCAAGCAATGCGTTGACTAAGACGGACGGTCCGAAAAAAGTCCGAAACATGGATGACGTCACGCACTATGCACCGAGTAAAATGACGCAATACCACCACCACGTTATACCACACAAAACCGTTACATAATTTCTGTCAACATTTTCACAAAATCTGTAGGTATTTTATTTCCACAAAACCGTTACACTTCATTGTGCTCCGCTCACCGTCGAAGTATAGTCACAAACGCGGACGTACCGACCCCCACCAAACCCCTGACAACTTTCCCAAAGCAAAAAGAGCTCCCAATCTCTCCCCTGCAGTTAGCTCTCGATTCCTTTTTTTCAGACGTCCAGGTGAAAGCCCACGGAATGCAGTGCTGAAAAGTCCCGATTCTTGTAAATATAAGTTTTCTTTTGATATTCGTATATATAAGTGTTCCCCCCTCGCCACGAAAATGGTGAAGAAGCGGAAGGCGAAGAATCAGGGCGGGGCTGGCGACATGGACATGGGGGACGCCGCCGCGCCTTCCGCCGTGACATCCGCCGCGGGAGGCGCTAAGGAGACCGCGGCCGCCGGATTTTCCGCCGCTTCGGCCGTGCATCCGGCGAGGAGGCGGGAGGTCCGATCGCTAGCGGCAACGCCATGGGTAGGTGGAAGATAAGAAGACAGAAACGACAAGGGGGGGGGGGGGGGGGGGGGGGGGGTGCAACAAAACATTGACTTTGGGTTAGGAGGAAGGCTGGAGGGAACCCTAAACCCCAAATCTTGTACAATGACTAGTCTCGTCGCTCTTCGTCTCCCCCCTCCCCTCTCCCACGCCCCGCATCCCCGCCCCCCTTTCCCCCATGCGCGCCCCTCTGACACGAGAGAGGCCTTTGAGACGTCTTAAAAGTCTGCCATGCGCGTTCCCCCTCCCCTCTCCCACGCCCCCCATCCCCGTCCCCCTTTCCCCCATCCCCGCCCCTCTGACACGAGCGAGGCTGCCCACCAACCACAAGTCACCCCTCTCTTCCTACGTGCCCTTCCCCCCTCCCTCCCCCCCCACGCTTTTCCTCCTCTCCTCCCCTCTCCCCCTTCCCCCCCCTTCCCTCCTCCCAACCCTCTCCGCCACCCCTCCTCTCTTTTCTTTCCCTCCCGTTCTCCCCGTTTCCCTCCGCATCTCTCCTCCCCCCATTCCCCACCCTTTCCCCTCAGTCACAAGTGAGACGATGGGGTTCACAGTGATTAAGGCGTCAGCTGATGGGTTCACGATTAAGGCGCACAAGTCACCTTCCGTCCCCCCTTCCCCCTCCCCTCTCTCCTCCCCCCCCTCCCCCTTCCTCCCATCCCCCCCATCCTCCCCTCCCCCTCCACCAGACACGAGTGAGGCAACGGGGTTCACAGTGATCAAGGCGTCGGCTGAGAACGCCCTCAGGCGCTTTCTCCCACACCCCCTTCCTCTCCACACCCCATCCCCCGCTTTCCAGACACGAGTGAGACGATGGGGTTCACAGTGATTAAGGCCTCGGCTGAGAACGCTCACAGCACACCTGCTCTGCCAGGCATAAGGTGAGCCGCCCGGCCCGCCCCATGCGCGTACCCCAGTCTGAGACTTGTCAGAGCACCGCTGCTTCTCTGCCCGCATGTGTGGCCCGCCCTAACTCATGCGATGGTCTGGTGGGCGCGTGCACATGTGTGGATTGTGCATGTGTGGTCGAAATAGCAAGTTCCGGCTTGATAACAACTCAAACCACACACACTCTGTTGAATACCGGGTGAGCTGCCGCCATGTGCACGGGCCATTGTCTCTGCAGAGGCCACACTCTCTGCAAGCAGTGCGCATGCTGCTCAGTTGTATGCTCCTATCAACCACATGCTCCTCAACCCACCTTCACTCTCACTGACACACATCAACCACATCCTGCTAGGTAAGATGTGTTAATGTTTTATCTTACACTCACTCAGATGCAACTTCATTCGCAGAACTCACTGTTTGGATTCCACCCAATGCCGACACACCTCCTGGCAGGAAGAAGGGGGCACCGGAGCGACGAACCAAGACGAGGAGGAGGCAGAAGGTGCTTGATAAGGCCCTTGCGATCCCAGAGAAGACTGTTTCCGAAACTCTCGTTCCGAATTTTACCCATCACCCACCCACACGTTACCTGGCAGGAAGAAGGGGGCACCGGAGCGACGAGCCAAGACGAGGAGGAAGCAGAAGCTGCTTGATAAGGCTCTTGCGATAAGAGAGAAGACAGAGACCAAGGCACAGAAGCATGCTGCTAAGAAGGCCCGCGTGCAGACACTGAAGAAGCTTTACTAGGAAGGAATACCAGTTCCGGTAGTTTGCATGCAGGCACCCATGCTGATGTACTTACCACAACTGCTGAAGCTGTACTGCAGCAGGCTGTTGGAAGACTGTTTGAACACAAATGTGCATGCATGCATGCCGATACAGAGTGAGACTGTTAGGGTGGTAAGCTGTACCGTATGTGCTTTATGAGGAGCACTATTTTAAGGAGATCTCTACCGAATGCAACAGTCATAGTAGAGCATCCTACAGTACCTTATTGCAGTCACACAAATGGTATAGCTCACATACAACTACGAATTACCAGTCAATTGCCCCCGATGTACATTCAGACGCAACAATCAGCACCACTCTTGACCACCCATCATAGTTCTCCCATCCCATCCTATACATCTTCTCCTGTTACAATCTCCCTTCCAACCGCCCCTCCCCCCCGTCTTCTCTCGTCTAGCGAGGAGCGCCCCCACCGCCAGCAGGAGCAGCAGTCTGGGGAGCCCCCGGACGGCCAGCCCTCGTGCGCGAGGCCTTGGCTTGCATCATCATCTCGTCGTAGTTCTAGTGGGTGGCAGGGAGGGGAGAGGGATGGGGGAAAGTGGAGAGAGAGGGGTTGATGAAAGTTGAAGACTGACGGCCACCCCACGTGCCCATCTAAGTTGGCAGATACGCCCTTGGGGGGTGGGCGTATTGCGTATATACGCCTGCGAATATACGACATACGCAAATACGCCTGAAAATCACTAAAATACGCCAGGGCGGCCCGGTACCAAAAAAAAACAAAAAACAAAAAACAAAAAATTCCTGCTGTGACATGCATGCCTCAACCACACCTGAGGCCCTGCACCACACTGCACTGCATTGCACCGCACTGCACTGAACCGCTCTGAACCGCACTGCACTCACCTTCTTCTCCATCTGCACGCCGCGCGACTCAATGTGCTTGTCGCACACGCCATAGTCAATGGCCTCCTGCTGTCACGTGCACGCCCCAACCACACCTGGGGCTTTGAATGCACCGCATTACACTGTACTGCACTGCACCACACTGCACCGTACCACACCGCAGTGCTCTCACCTTCTTCTCCATCTGCACGCCTCGCGACTCGATGAAATTGTCAGACACGCCATAGTCTATGGCCTCGTGATGTGCCATGCACACCTCAACCACACCTGAGGCATTGACTGCACCACACTGCACTGCACCGCACTGAACCTCACTAAATTGCACAGCACTCACCTTCTTCTCCATCTGCACGCCGCGCGACTCAATGATCTTATCGCACACGCCATAGTCTATGGCCTCCTGGCCGTGCAGGTACTTGGGGCGCATGATATCGCGGTACAGCTCATCCCGTGACTTGCCCGTGCCTCGCGCCAACAGCTCGATGTAGTAATCCGTGTTGGCGTCAAGCTCCTTGGCCTGGATGGGAGGAGTGGGAGGGGAAACAGGAGAGTGAATCCTCTGGCCACACTGAGGGGCCTCCTGCCCATGCAGCGCAGGTACTTGGGGCGCATGATATCATGATACAGCTCGTCCCGTGACTTGCCCGTGCCGCGTGCCAACAGCTCGATGTAATAGTCCGTGTTGGCGTCAAGCTCCTTGGCCTGCATGGGAGGAGAGAGAGGTGAGGGGACGAGGGAGGAAGCAACAGTGAGTCCTCCTCCTGGCCGCGCAGGTGCTTGGGGCGCATGATATCACAGTACAGTTTGTCCCGTGACTTGCCCGTGCCGCGTGCCAGCAGCTCGATGTAATAGTCCGTGTTGGCGTCAAGTTCTTTGGACTGCATGGGAGGAAGGCAAAGGGCGGGAAGCAACAGTGAGTCTGCAAGCGCAGGTACTTGGGGCGCATGATATCTCGGTACAGCTCCTCCCTCGACTTGCCCGTGCCCCGCGCTAACAGCTCAATATAGTAATCCGTGTTGGCGTCAAGTTCCTTGGCCTGCATGGAGAGAGAGAGAGAGGAGCTTTGAGGGGAGCAGGGAGGAAGAAACAGTGAGGCCTCAGGAGGGTTACAGCTAAGCTCAGCAGTGATTATATCGCAGTACAGCTCGTCCCGTGACTTGTCCGCGCCCCGTGCTAAGAGCTCTATGTAATGATTTGTGTCGGCGTCAAGCTCCTTGGCCTGCATGGGAAGGGGGCGCGGGTTGAGGGGGCGAGGGGCGAAGGAGCAGATCCACAGCTCAACCTCTGAAAGGAGAGAGGTTCTTGGTGGAAGTCTACATTGGGGCGCCTCTGAAAGGGTACGGACCAGCAGGTACAGCCCTGCATTAATAGCGCCTAGAGAACAGTCCAGATTCAAGGCTCCATCTGGGGTGCAAAAGATGACATCTTACAACTTATCAAATGAAGAACCTCACCTTGATCCACATGTCGATGGCGGCTCCACTTGATTGGCTCGCTCTGGGTGCATAGAGCTTGGCTGTTGGGAGTCATGGGGTTGCAATGCACACGCACAGACATGCACACATGCACCCACAGGGGACACACAGACATACACACATGCACCCACAGGGGACACACAGACATGCACACATGCACCCACAGGGGACACACAGACATACACACATGCACCCACAGGGGACACACAGACATACACACATGCACCCACAGGGGACACACAGACACGCACGCACACACACACGTCATCCACCCACATGAACATATAGTTACACTGTGCAGCCCAGGCATGGCAATGAAAAAGGAAGAGGGCACTCTTGTCCTTTGTCATTTGTCAGACAAAGCACTGTCAGCTTCCCAGACGAAGCAAGGAAAAGGAAAACGGAGCAGCAGGGCACTCACTGACGGCGTTGGGCTGCACGGCCTGGTAACCCTTGTCCCCTATGGCCAGCAGCATGGCCGCTAAGGCACACAGTAAAGAAAACACTCTAAACAACACACGTCTAGTCTAGCATGAGGCGGGAAGGAGAAGGGCACTCACTGACGGCGTTGGGCTGCACGGCGCGGTGGCCCTTGTCTCCTATGGCCAGCAGCATGGCTGCCTGCCCAAACGCCTGCCCGCAGTTGACCGTGTAGACCTTGGACTTGATGTACTGTGATGGGGCGTTGGGGCGGGGGGGAAGGAGGGAGAGGGGAGGGGTCCCATGAGAGAGTAAGAACGGATAGGACAGACGCGGAGCAATGAGCCACTCCCTGTGAGGCTTATGCCTGTCCAAACGCCTACCCGCAGTTGACCGTGTAGACCTTGGACTTCACGTACTGTGTGTGATGAGGCAGATGGGGGACGGGGGCGGAAACAGGGGAGAGGTCCCGACAGGGAGTAAGAATGAATGGGGCAGAAGGGGAGAAACGAGCCAGGCCCTCTGTGGCTTATGCCTGTCCAAACGCCTGCCCGCAGTTGACCGTGTAGACCTTGGACTTCACGTACTGTGTGTGATGGGGCGAGAAAGGGGGAGGGTGGGGTGTGGCATGGAGGGAGTCTGATCATCACTCAAATGCACAAATATATCAAATGCACAAATATATCAAATGCACAAATATATCAAATGCAAATCACCGTGTAGACTGAACAAGCACATCGCACACGGGAGCCGCATAGTTTCACACTCACGTTCATGGTATCAGCGATGGCGTATGCCTCTGTCTCAAACCCCACGCTCTCGCGCTTGCCAATGGCACCTTAAAGTCAACTCACAAACAATGCCCCCCACCCGGCACTCACATTCATGGTATCAGCAATAGCGTAAGCTTCCGTTTCGAACCCCACGCTCTCGCGCTTGTCGTCCGTACTCTTGACTCGACTGAAAAGGCAAAACCTTACACTCTCACAATACATGACCCCCACCACCCAGCGCTCACGTTCATGGTATCGGCAATGGCATACGCCTCGGTTTCGAACCCCACGCTCTCGCGCTTGTCAATGGCACCTTGAAGTCAACTAACAAAAAATGCTCCCCACCCGGTGCTCACATTCATGGTATCAGCGATAGCATACGCCTCGGTTTCGAACCCCACGCTCTCGCGCTTGTCGTTCTGCGTGCCGGAGGAGTTGATGTAGAAGTAGATGGGTTTGGATGGGTTGTCATAGTCCAGCCACAGCAGCTCCGCCACTATCAGCTCTGTCACTGCTGGGACGATCTGGAAAAATGAGATGAATAGGGGGTGGGGAAGGGTGGAGAGGGGTATGGAGGAGAGAAAGAATATGGGGTGAAGAGAGGTATGGAGGAGAAAGACGGCGTTTAAAAGGGTATGGAAGGGTTGGAACCCACCCACCCACCCATACCCGTCCACCCGTCCATCCATCCATGCACTCACGGGCATGCCCAGGTAGCAAATGCGCGCGTCCAGCAGCAGCGAGGCGAGCCCAGGCAGCCCACACTGGTACCATGCCCTGACCACATTATGCACGCATACAGGCGTCCATCCACCCACGCACTCGCATCCTCAAGTGGCCCATTCACGGGCATACCCAGGTAGCAGATGCGCGCGTCCAGCAGCAGCGAGGGCAGGTCGCAAGGAGCAGAGCGGCTTCGAGAGGTTCTGATGGTGTCGTATCGCTGGAACCAACCACGACCTGTACCCAATCAACCATATTCTACACCCACCCATCCACCCACGGACTTACAGGCATGCCCAGGTAGCAGATGCGCGCATCCAGCAGCAGCGAGGGCAGGTCGGGCGAGGCGAACCCAGGCAGCAGCAGATGCAATCGTTCATGCTCACCCTGGGTTGAAGGTTCCTTACACTTCATATACTCTCAGAAACGCCCACAGCTGAAACTACCATCCCACTCACGGGCATGCCCAGGTAGCAGATGCGCGCGTCCAGCAGCAGCGAGGGCAGATTGGGAAGGCGAGCAGAGGCAGCAATACATGGTACCGCTCAAGCTCCTTCTGGGAATAGAGTTTCACCATATCTGAAGCTACCCTTCCCTTCCGTGTGTGATGAGGCGATTTTTGAGTCGACTCAAAAATCGCCTGAAGCTACCCTTCCCTTCCACTCACGGGCATGCCCAGGTAGCAGATGCGCGCGTCCAGCAGCAGCGACGGCAGGTCGGGCGGCGCGGTCTTGGGGCGACCGTTGCCGCCCAGCCCGCGGTACATGCTGACGCTCATGCTCAGCCGCGCCGCGGAGTTCTCTAGGCCCGGCAGCGACCACATGCCCGTGCCGTTGCGGTAGTGTGCAGCAGACGAGATGCTCGCCTGGCGGACGGAAGGGGGGAGGGGAGGAAAACGCGCGGAAGGGATAGATTCTGAGGTGATCCAAGGCGCGGAGTTCTCTGGGCCCGGCAGCGACCACATGCCCGTGCCGTTGCGGTAGTGCGCCGCGGAGGAGATGCTCGCCTGGGGGAGGGGAGGGGGGGGAAGAGCAGGTTGGTTCAGAGGTGATTCACGAGTGGAGTTCTCTAGGCCCGGCATGGACCACATGCCCGTGCCGTTGCGGTAGTGCGCCGCTGACGAGATGCTCGCCTGGTGGGGGATGGGCGGAAGTGGAAGGGAAAAGAAGAAGGGGGGGATGGGGGGAAGGAGGAGAGGGGCGGGGGGGGAAAGGGAGGGGGAAGGGGAAGGGGAACGAAAGGGGAACGGAAAGAAGAAGCGAGGGGAAAAAGATTGGAGGGGGCGGGGGGGCGATGTGACCAGCGGTGACCGGAGCAGATGAGTGGCAGACAGAAAATCAGTTGAAAAATCCCAGGCATACATACTCGCACACACACACTCACACACACACACACACACGCACACGTACCTCGGTAACGGATTGGGATATCCGCGATACAGGGCTGTCCTCCGTCATGAGCATGCTCATCTGCGTGGAGTTCAGGCCGTACAGCGACGCCGGCACGTTGCGGAAATTCTCCATCACTGCCGTCCGCGCACGGAGTAACAACCGGAGCAAAGGGCAGAGGAAACAGCGGAGCGAAGATGGGGACGAAGTTTAGGGCAATAGAGTAGAGCGGGACGATGGACACAAACAGCTATTGAGTCGACTCATGAGTCGACAGCAGTGATGCAGTTTAGCACGCAGCGGACATTCTGCATCACTGCCGTCGAAGCAGAACTTCGTTATAAGGTGTTGTCGAAGGCTATATAACGTCAGAGTGGATGTGCGGGGGATGTGTTGTCACTTTTCCGGATTGTAAATCCTCGCTACCGCTTTAGATCGTATGATACCGCGCTGAAACGTTCTATGACGTCCTGGGACGGCGGCAAATCCAATCATTTGCACCATGGCCTAGCGATCGGAAAGACACTATCCCTAAAGCAACGGGCTAGCTTCAAGAACCATCTATATCATGCCTGTACCACTTCCGCTCTCGACGATTCTCAATAAACAGCTGTTCAGGTGCCGTAGGTAATCTTAACCGTCCATCTTTCACACCCGTGTTCGCATATACCCGGATTCTTCTCAGAACTACCGAGCTAATCTTCCCAGGTGAAGCCACATCGAGTCATCCCCGTTACAAGCACGTCCAGTTGTAATTACCATAACACGAGAACACGTACATCCTTCCTTCAAGTGCCTCTCCTGAAACTGCTTCGGGACGTCCCTCATCGCAGCGCGTGCGACACCTCTCGCGACACGCTCGCGACCTTCGCAGCTCCGCTGCGAAATCGCGAGTCTCTGACCCTGGAGCAGCGATCCCTGAGAGAACCCCACGCGGCCAGCCGATGCACGCGAGTCGGAACGGAGCGACGCGGCAGGCGACGGGACAGGCGTCCTGACGGCGCCTGACACCCCTAAGGCGGCCATATCGCTGCAATTAACCAACAACAAGGGTATTGAGGTTGCGTCTGCAATAAAATCAGGAGCGGTTACGACGATCAGGGAGAGGTCGAAGAGGAGGGACTGAACGTTCACTAGGAGGCAGAGAAACTCGACATCAAGGTGGAATAAGGCCGCGAAAGGGAAAAGGCTGGGGGATACTAAATATTAGGGTTGCGGTTCCAGGGGGGTGATACATCGATGGTCACCGAAGTCTGTAATTCTGAAGAGATTGTAAATGGTTTCCTGTGTTTTAGAAAGGTATGCAACGGTTCGTGCCACAGCAGAGGTAATCCCCACAGGCGGGATTGGTGGAACGTGGAGAGGGACTCGGGGGGAAGCTGGGATGGGGGGCGAAACGATGTTTGCGAAGCAAGATGGGAGAAGATCGATGGCCGAGATTACGCTTCACATTCTCGAGAAGCACGAGATAACTGCCACGTCGCCGTCTCTCCTTCGATACATCCCGCTACAATTGTCTAGCCAAGTTATCCGTGTATGCACATATTGCTAGAGGTCAGCAGAACTATATTAGTTAACCAAGGTTATCTAAAACTGCTTCCCAAGCTCCACCTTCTTTAACATGCTAAGTGCATTGTGGAACATTCCATCAATTATGCCAGCGACCTGCAACCAGAGGAAAAGACACGATCAGAAACATGTAAGAAAGAAGCCGGCAACGTGCAACACCAAACATGTAAGTGACCATGACAGGTGATGAGTGCACATGAAAATAGGATACCCACCGTGAAGACACCACCAATGATAGCACAGAGGTTCGTGATGAAGTGGAAGAAAGGACGCCTTGTCTCCACAATGAGAACCTGCGAGGGGAAGGGGAGGAGACACGGCTAGCACTGGTGAGAAAACACAGTTGCTTGAGGTTACTCCAATACTATCGTGCCCGTCGAAATGCGTGCACCTTTAAGGAAAGCAAACATAGTGGATTCCAGAACACAAATAAAAACAGCCCACAGATTACCGACCTGCATGGGCGAGAGCTCGTAGTGGAAGCGCGAGACGGGCACGGAGGGGGCCTGCAGCGTGTGGCTGTGCGCGGTGTAGTCGTATGAGTGCAGCGAGCTGTCCTTGCGGGATACTCCCAACGGATGCACCTCCGTCAACACTATCTGCATAAAGTGCTCGTGCTGTGGGGGAAGAGAGTAAGGTGGGAGGGAGTGGGGGGGGAATGGGAAGAGGAGGGGGGTTGTGGACAGGGGTTGGATGGGAGAGGGCAAGTGATAAGTGGGAAGAAGATAGACGAGGATGCACACTTTGTCAGCACATCTCCATGAAGTGTTAAAGTGACACACTGACACCAGCATACAACCCCATCTCAGTAACACTACACTATCGTTCCACTTACAATTACAACTAAAAACCATCACGCATCCCCCCACTCACTGTCACATTGTCATGGTTGGAGAGAAACGAGTGCCCTTCGAGATAAAAGTTGTACTTTGAGACGTCTCAAAATACAACTTTTATCAAGTGAAACGAGTGCCCTTCGAGACGCCCCACAGGCGCAGGCACATAGGGGCGCAGGCACATAGGGGCGCAGGCAAATAGGGGCGCAGGCACATAGGGGCGCAGGCGCGCCACCAGCTCCTGCTTGCGGCGGGTGAGCTGGCGACCCCCTCTCAGTGACACACTGACACCACTCTACATCCCCCCCCACCCCACTTACAGTCACGTTGTCATGGTTGGAGTGGAAGGAATGCCCTTCCAGCCGCCCCACAGGGGCGGGTACATAAGGACGCAGGCGCGCCACCAGCTCCTGCTTGCGGCGGGTGAGCTGGCGACCGAAGGTGAAGCGGTGGATGGAGTGGGTCATGTTCATGGTGGCGGCGTCAAACGAGTGCGCTGTGGAGTGAGCTGTTATCATCAGATTGCCCGGCACCTGTGCGTGGGGTGTGGGGAGGGGAGAGGAGATGAGGAGAAGCGGTGGATGGAGTGGGTCATGTTCATGGTGGCGGCGTCAAACGAGTGCGCTGTGGAGTGAGCCATTATCATCAGATTGCCCGGCACCTGTGCGTGGGGTGTGGGGAGGGGAGAGGAGATGAGGAGAAGCGGTGGATGGAGTGGGTCATGTTCATGGTGGCGGCGTCAAACGAGTGCGCTGTGGAGTGAGCCGTTATCATCAGATTGCCCCGCACCTGTGCGTGGGTTGTGGGGAGGGGAGAGGAGATGAGGAGAAGCGGTGGATGGAGTGGGTCATGTTCATGGTGGCGGCGTCGAACGAGTGCGCTGTGGAGTGAGCCGTTATCATCAGATCGCCTGGCACATGCCAGGGGCAGCAGTGTGGGCAGGAGGGCGCGGAGACGGAGGAGAGAAGGTGGAGAGAAAGTGGGGGAGGGGAAAAGGGGCGGAGAAGGTGGGGAGAGGGAGGGGGCTGGGTGGGGAGAGGGCCCGAGAAGATTTGAAAGAGAGATCGGGAGGAGGGCAAGCGGGAGACGAGGGAGGAAAATAGCTGGAAAGCGTTGGGTGGTGAATAATACTGCCACTTATAAGCCAGCTCACCTTCTTTACAAGCACGAATCCCTCGATGTTGCACCCGCCAGAGGCAGGGGCGCGGCGCTTGACGTGCTGATGGCTGTCCTCCGCTGCTGTGGGGCGCCCCACCGTGGCCGATGGGACGAGAGACTCGGCGAACTGAGGTGGTTGGGAGCACAGGAGGGATAGCAGGAGCGAGCGGAGGGGGGATGAGTGGTGGTTCACTGGCAGCGCTTGACGTGCTGATGGCTGTCCTCCGCTGCTGTCGGCCGCCCCACCGTGGCCGATGGCACCAGCGACTTCGCGAACTGAGAGGCAGGGGGAGGGGAGAAGAGGGAAGGTTGTTGTTGAAGGAAGAGCTTCCCCTTCAGCACTTATCGCTTGACGTGCTGGTGGCTGTCCTCCGCTGCTGTGGGGCGCCCCACCGTGGCTGATGGCACCAGGGACTCCGCGAACTGAGGGCAAGGGAGGCGGGAAAAAGGGGTTGTTGTTAAACGAGCTTCATCGGCGTGTATCACTTGACATGCTGGTGGCTGTCCTCTGCTGAGGTGGGGCGCCCACCATGGCCGATGGGACGAGGGACTCAGCGAACTGAGGTGGTTGCACAGCACGCAAGGGGGATGATTGATAAGTCAAAGAGAAGTGCGCAGCAAAAGAGCATGGGCGTAACCAGGGCAGTGCAGCGAATTGGAACTACCCACCAAGTGGAAGAAAGCAAAACATACAGGGGGGGTGGGTGGTCACAGGCAACAGCACAGCACAGAAGGCTCCAGTGATGTTTGGGAAGCATACAAGCGAGGAGATGGACAAAAGAGGCATGGAGGGAAAGAGAAACATACCGCAACGAGTGACTCGGCATCTCGCTCGCCATAATACGACTCGTGGTCATGCTCCCCGTGCTCTCCATGCATGCTGTGCAAGCATCATCACATGCATCATGCCACGGGGGAAAAAAAACTGTAAGGCTCGGTCAAATGAAAAGACGTAGTATGACTCGTGGTCATGCTCCCCTTGCTCCCCATGCTCTCCATGCTCTCCATGCTCTCCATGCTCCCCATGCTCTCCATGCATGCTGCACAGTGCGCATCACATGCCATGCGGCCCATGCTACAGGGAAAAACAGCAGATCATGCATATAAGTTAAATAATGCCTCAATAACCATGTTGGTGGCTGTAAGAGCCTCAAAAACCCATGCTTGCTTGCTCTCCATGCACGCTAGCTGGGTCAACCTGGCACAAGGGTCAACCTACCCATGGACTCCTTAGGCACATGCACTCACGGCAGGTCGGTGACCTTGCAGGGCATTTTTTAGAATTCTAAAAAACACCAGGCGCATGCACTTACTGCAGGTCTGTGTCCTTGCACTTCGTTTGCTTCACAGTAAGAAGCACACGGAGGTTATGCTACTGTAAAGCTGCTTTTGCTGCATGCACTCACCGTATGTCCATGCCCTTGCGGTAGATCCGGATGGAAGGGAAGCCCTGAATGTGATTGCTGCAGTAAAAGGGAAGGAGTGACGGTAGGAGGCATGCGAGTGACGCATTGGGAATCAAGGAAAACATTTAGGGGACAGCCCACATTCAGCTTTTAACAAAAAAAAGGAATGACTCTCATGGTGACGCACTCACATGCTCCTCACGGCTCTGTAGAAGAGTGAAGGGAACTCACTCTCGGCACAAGTCCTGGTAGTTGGTGCAGTCAATCGAGTGCTATGACAGCATTCGAGACACACACGGCTTGCACGGGTCTCACGGTTCTTACGGGTCCTTTTTCTGTTATGAGTATGAGGAAGCACTCACTCTCGGCACACGTCCTGATAGATGGTGCAGTCAATCTTGGCGAAGCGAATGCGACCATCATAGTCAGGATGGTACCTGGCGTGGAGAGGGGAGATAGTAGAGAGAGACGGAGAGAAGAGATGAAAAGAGAGAGGAGAGAGAGAGAGAGAGAAAAAAAGAGAGGCGTCATATGCATGGACAGTCACGATTTGAGTAAACAACATAGTGTGTCCCTGACTCCCTGCAGGTCGTATGCGGTACAAGAGTGACACTCACTTGCGATTGAGGACAGTTGCAGCCTTCTCCCATGCTGGCTCCTGCAGGCGAAGGAGGAAGAGACAAGTGGAAGGTGAGGTTCACGTGGAGGGTGGGACCGGGCGAGGGGAGGAGGAACGGGGGGGAGGGGGGACGGCAAGAGGGTGGGACGGAGGGGAGGATGCAACGCTTTCATTGCAAACCATTGAATCGTAAAACTTCGAAGCAAGCAGGGGCAGCAGGGGCAGCAGGGGCACATATTTCTGAGGGGCCTCTTCTTAAGGCGTGTGAAGCAGGCACTGACCAATCTCTGGCACCAGGGGCACCAAGGGGCGAAGAAGTTCACCACGAGGATCTGGTACCTGCTCAGGGGAAGCACAGCGGACACATGGGAGGAATTTTAAGGCGCCTCAGACATCGTCTCACTTCACAAGAGTACCAGGGGCACCAAGGGCCGAAGAAGTTCACCACGAGGATCTGGTACCTGCTCAGGGGAGAAGCAGCGGAGGCACGGGAGGGAGGGAGAGCACTATGGATGGCACACGCACAGCAGCGTTTACCACCTGCGAGTGAAGCGCAAAGAGCTCAGCAGTCACTGAGCGAGACACATTTTGAGGCGCCTAGATCTCCTTTTCCCTTTTTAAAGCGACACAAGAACGAGCACTTGCTACACATGAGAAGCACAGAGCACGGAACGCACCCGTGGGTTGGGGCGGCGAAGCACAGAGCACCCACTCGTGTGTGCGAGTGCCAGCCCGACCGCACAGCACCACTCACTCGCGCCGCAAAGTGCCAGCCCAACCGCACAGCACCACTTACTCGTGGGCGAAGTGTTCAAAGTTGTCCTTGTTGAGCACGAGCGAGCCCACGTACTCATGCCCGTCCTCCGCCATCTTCTGGTTTAGACACGACTCAAACCAGCCCAACCGCACAGCACCTATCACTCATATGCGAGGTGCCAGCCCAACCGCACGGCACCACTCCCAACCGCACAGCACTACTCACTCATGCGCAAAGTGTTCTAAGTTGTCCTTGTTGAGCACGAGCGAGCCCACGTACTCATGCCCGTCCTCCGCCATCTTCTGGTGCCTTGAGACGAATCAATCCACACAGCTCCACCGCACAGAACCACTCACTCGTGCCGCTAAGTGCCAGCCCAACCGCACAGAACCACTTACTCATGCGCGAAGTGTTCGAAGTTGTCCTTATTGAGCACGAGTGAGCCCACATACTCATGCCCGTCCTCCGCCATCTTCTGGTGCACCTCCTCCGTCGTCTCGTTGCTGTCCTCCCCGTGCTTCTCCGGCACGGGCAGCGGGTCCGGATGGTGCTCCGGCCCCACCCAGTTGCCTGCCGCGTCGATGGGGTACTTGCGCACCGTCTTGCTCAGGTTGTACCGCGCCTGCGCGGATGTGGGGAATGCGGGGGTGTGGAGGATGGGGGGGTTGAGGCGGGGAGGAAAAAGGGGGGTGTGTGAGATGAGAGACGCGTCGATGGGGTACTTGCGCACCGTCTTGCTCAGGTTGCACCGCGCCTGCGCGGATGTGGGGGATGGCGGAGATTGGGGGGGAGAGGTGTGAGGGGAGGGGGAAAGGAGCGGGATGAGGTAGGAAGGGGGAGTCGGAGATGCGTTGATTGGCTACTTGGGGGCCGTCTTGCTCAGGTTAAACCGCGCCTGGGCGGATGTGAGGCAGGAGGAATACGACGAGGCGTGACGAGGGGGATACTATTGCAAATGGGTGCAATGCTCTCCCAAGACGGTATTGCGGTGTTTGGAATGAGTGATGTGGCGTTGTATGCGCGTGCCAGTGATGGTGCATCGCCGAATGAGCACCGCTCGATGAACATTGCAGGATGGCACTCGTGCAACTGACCAGATTCAGACGAATTCCGGCGGATTGAACATACATTCAGAGAAGATTCCAAACGGTATGAGAGCGTGAGAGCGGATTCAGGGCGGACTCAGGGCGGATTCAGGGCGGACTCAGGGCGGATTCAGGGCGGATTCAGGGCGGACTCAGGGCGGATTCAGGGCGGATTCAAAGCGAGTTCAGGCCTTACAGTTCCGAGCACGTCGGTGACGTCGACTGACGCGAACTCACACGACAGCGCTGGGAAACTGCACGGGGACAGAACAGAAAACAGTTTCACGAATGGCAAAATCCACTGACAAATAAAAGAAAACGCGGTGACTGATTCGATACTGGTCGGTGCGTATACATGTGGAAATTCGGCACGTGACATAGAGCCAGCAGCGTTAGGCAGTGATCGCTGACCAGCCTCACCTGAAGTTGAAGTTTATCCGAAGCAGCTCGCCGTTTTGGCTCTGATCGACGATGACTTGCGTCGTGGTGGAGACTTTAAGAAAGCTGTTTAGCTCCTGAAAGGCAGAGAAGGTGAACGACAAAGGCCGGAAAACGTCTCTTGAGTGGAAAGCGAAGGTGAAAGCGGAAATATTAGCACGAAGGAAAAGGAGGAACGAGCTTAAGCTGCTGTCCAGTCTCCAGCTAGACTTAGTCAGCTCAGTCACAAGAGAAATAGAAGCACGAAGCGACGTGGTTTCGAAATCGTACCGCGACAAAGAGGAAGATCATGGTCGTCGCGGCTACGATCGAGAGACTCGCACCGGAGAACGAAGCCTCAGTGAGATCCCGAGGGATCTTCCTGCGAAAATGCAAGACGATAATACATAAAAAAGAAGCCTTCCTTAAGGTGAGAAAAATGGAGGATCCACCACGGCCGACTCGACATTGGCACACGATTGGTGACTACTGCCGTCATTGGCTCCGTTTCTAATCGCACCTGTAGAAATCTAACGCCTTGAGCTTCGCAAAGGTCGACATGGCTGCAGCACGTAGACGAAAACCGCAATGCTCTGGTCTGGGATGTAAAGCGGCGATAATCTGCCGGCTGCCCGAGCACCTACACTACTGGATCACCTAGATCCAACGAGACTGCTGCAAGCGCAGGAAGTATGTTCCGAACTTGCCGAGGACCTAATTCACGGCATCAGGGAGAAAGACTGAGATTGGACTGACTGATGGAAGAAATCTCGGTGTAGAGAAACCTCGGAGTTGCTTTGTTCTATTGCAGGGAGCTCGTGTGTTTTTCAGATGCGATACAAGAGAAAATGAAATTGAACGGTTAGAAGCGGAAACAAGAATGTACCTTGTAACGAGGACACCATTATTTTTCGGCAGCAGAACAACCAGCCTGATATACTCGTTCTTGAGATTGTCCTGAGATGCTCACACCGTCAGCCGCCGCTCCACCGCATTTGCTTGTTCGATTGAAAGCATCAATATCAGAAGCTGACGATGGTCCAGCGAATAGCAATGCAAAGGCACGTCACAGAATAGCAGTGCAATAGCTGAAGAAACCATCCTAAATCCGCGAGCCTGAACCGCGCTTCAGAGATTTCTGGTAGCTGGATTCGTTGCGTGCGCTTTACGCCACTTTGAGATTAGTTTTTTTCTCTTCCTCTCGCACGTGGCGTCACCGAAGCAATTCCGAGGCGCCGTAACGGCCACATTTGACGCTTACACGGCCGTAGAGACGATTAGGAAGGCGATTAAGGACCGAGAAAGCGAGGACTGGAAGTGGAGTGAGGGAGCGGGTAAGAACAAGAGTCTTGATCGAGGCGGACTCGAAAAAGGGAGAAGCAAGAGGAGGGCAAAAGGGGAGGAGAAGGGGACAGGGGAGGAGAGGAAGGGGAAGAGGGGCGACGAGAAAGGGAAGCAGGGATGGCGCAGCAGGGAGGGGCCGGGCGGGGGGGAGGGCGCGGACCACCGCTGCAAGCGGGGGGAGGGCGCGGTGGAGGCGGAAGGGGAGGCGGACCGCAGCAAGCAGGCGGAACGGATCCCACGCCTGCTGCAATCACGTTCACTAAGGACCCGGTGATGGAAGACAAACGACCAAGGAAGATGTGAGTGGGGGAGGGAAGGGATGGCGAAAATTTGGCGAACAGTGGGCGAACAGTGGGAAGGGAAGGCACACGATCGCGCCTGCTGCGATCACGTTCACTAAGGAGCCGGTGATGGAAGACAAACGGCCTCGCAAGATGTGAGTGGGGGAAAGGGGGGGAAGGGGGGTGGGTGGGTGCATGAAGAGGGAATCTGAGATCCTCGTAAGCAACCTGCCTCTTTCCGTGCCCATCACTCTCCCACCTTCTCCCCCATTCTTTTGAGTCTTTGGTTCAGTATGATGAGTGCACATGAGATGAGAGATTGAGGAGGAGAGTGCATGTTGGCTTCGTTTCACCCCTCGCCCTTTCTCAAATTCACCCTCCGTTCTCATCCACCCTAACCCCTGGCAGCAAGAGTGTGCGGTTCAGCACAATGAGTGCGCACGAGATAATGAGGAGAGTGCTTGCTGGTTCCGACTTTTTGAGGCGCCTCAAAAGGCGCCTAAAAAGAGTGTGCGGTTCAGCACAATGAGTGCGCACGAGATAATGAGGAGAGTGCTTGCTGGTTCCGTGCGAACACCTTATGCACATCCGCCCTCCCTCCCCTTCCTCCCTCCCTAATTGTGGCAGCAAGAGTGTGCAGTTCAGCACGATGAGTGCGCACGAGATAATGAAGAGCGCGGAGGTGCAGATATCAGAGAGGAGTCTGTACCAGCTGCCAGAGCGCAAGCCCACGCCCTTTGGCGTGCTCGACCCTCGCCTCGTGAGTCTGTTTGCTGGACCCTTTGTTGACCCTCGGCTGGTGAGAGAGTGCTGCAAGGCTCGTGAGTGTGTGGTGCGCATTGATCACTCACGAGCCTCTGATCAGCCTTTGATCCAAGGCTGGAGAGCGTGCTTGAGTTGCCCGGAGTTTGTTCTTAGACGAGATACAACACTGGGTTGCCCCTTTTCCCTTGGTCTCAAGAAACAATTCCAAGTGCGATTGTGTCACCCGTTGTTTCTGCACACAAACAGGGAACGACGAGCAAGAAGGGGGAGTGCTCGACGTGTAACGGCACGCTGCAGGACTGTGCGGGGCACTTTGGGTACATCAGGCTGGAGCTGCCGGTGTACCACATGGGGTACTTCAAAGTCATCCTCCTCGTCATGCAGTGCATCTGCAAGGTGGGTGGGACTGGGGGATGATGAAATGCATGTGTATTGCATCGCATGGATTACACCCATTGTTTAGCTGCCGGTGTACCACATGGGGTACTTCAAAGTCATCCTGCTCATCATGCAATTCATCTGCAATGTAATTTGGCTATTGGCTATGGTGAACCGTGAAATGCTTACTTTTGTGTCTTGCTCCACCAATGTTTCAGCTGCCTGTCCACACCGCATCACACCACATTAAAACCCACCCCACACCCCACCCCACCTCACTCCACCACACTCCACCACACCACTCCACACCACACCCCACTTCACAGAACTGTGGGCGGATTCTGCTGAGCGACGAGGAGCGGCGGCAGTGGCTGAAGAAGTTCCGGCACCCACGGGTGGAGGTGCTGCAGAAGAAGGCCATGGTGAAGCGCGTTTCAGAGCGGTGCAAACGCACCAGGATGTGCCACTACTGCGGAGACCACAACGGTGAGTTGATTGGGTTTCTGTGCGTGAGGCTTGGGTTTGCTGCGTGTGCCGTGAGGCGAGGCCTGGAGGTGGTGAGGCGCATGGAGGCACACAGCAGCAGCAGCAGCAGCAGCAGCAGCATCCACATAAACCAGAAACTCTGAACCCTGAACCCTGTACCCCATCCTTTCCCGCCTTGCAGGCACTGTGAAGAAGCTGACTGGCACGCTGAAGCTCTCTCACGACAAGTTTGGCAAGGATATGGACGCCAAGGGTGAGGAGGTGCGGCGCATGGAGGCACACTGCAGCAGCAGCAGCAGGAGCCATATAAACCAAAAGCCCCGAACCCTGGACCCTGAACCCCATCCTTTCATGCATCGCAGGCACGGTGAAGAAGCTAACGGAAACACTCAAGCTGTCCCACGACAAGTATGGCAAGAACATGGACGCCAAGGACGAGGCGATGGCAGTGCACGGTTGTCAGTCGGCACGAGATGGATACCCTGAACCATAAACCCCTGTTGAACCCCGTGTCCTGCAGGCACTGTGAAGAAGCTAACAGGCACGCTCAAGCTGTCCCACGACAAGTACGGCAAGGATATGGACGCCAAGGATGAGGCGATGGCAGTGCACAGTTGTCAGTCGGCACGAGATGGATACCCTGAACCAGAAACCCCTGTTGAACCCCATGTCCTGCAGGCACTGTGAAGAAGCTAACAGGCACGCTGAAACTGTCTCACGACAAGTACGGCAAGGATATGGATGCCAAGGACGACGTGGTGCGGCGCATGGAGGCAGCGGTGGAGGTGAACAAGGAGATAGCGCAGCACTCGAGCAAGGTGGCGGATGACCTCAACCCCGTGCGCGTGCTGTGGCTGATGGAGCGGATGCTGGATGAGGTAGGGGATGTTTCTAGGCGCCTCAAAACTGTTGACTACTTTTGTGGCACCTCAGCAGGCGAACAGGGAGATAGCTCAGCACTCCAGCAAGGTGGCGGACCATCTCAACCCTGTCAGAGTGCTGTGGCTGCTGGAACGCATGCTGGATGAGGTACGCACTGCGTTAAGGGGTCTTCTTGAGCTTGAGCCGTTCCTTGGAGTATGAGTCGCCTCGCTTCGCAGCACTCGAGCAAGGTGGCGGATGACCTCAACCCCGTCAGGGTGCTGTGGCTGATGGAGAGGATGCTGGATGAGGTATGGGATTTGAGACGCCTCAGAACGTTTGATTAATATGAAGGGTCTCGTTAAGTGAATTGCTCTGCTCTACCCTGCCCTGCTCTGCCTCACATCCCCTCATCCCCCCTCTTCCTCTCCCCCCTCCTCTCCCCACTGTCCCACCCAGGACTGTGAGCTTCTAGATCTCTACTATCGCCCCGAGCACCTAATAGTAACCCACCTCTCAGTGCCTCCTGTGGCCATCCGGCTGTCCGTGGTGATGGAGTCAGCCCGATGTGCCGAGCCTGTTCCCCTGCGCTTCTCAGCTCTGCTCTGCACTGCTTCCCCTCGCTCACGACCCCCTCCCCCCACCCCAGGACTGTGAGCTTCTGGATCTCTACTATCGCCCCGAACGCCTCATAGTAACGCACCTGTCGGTGCCTCCAGTGGCCATCCGTCGATCGGTGGTGATGGAGTCGGCCCGATGTGCCGAGCCTGTTCCCCTGCGCTTCTCAGCTCTGGTTTGCACTGCTTCCCCTCGCTCACGACCCCCTCCCCCCACCCCAGGACTGTGAGCTTCTGGATCTCTACTATCGCCCCGAGCGCCTCATAGTAACACACCTCTCAGTGCCCCCGGTGGCCATCCGTCGATCGGTGGTGATGGAGTCAGCCCGATGTGCCGAGCCTGTTCCTCTGCGCTTCTCAGCTCTGGTTTGCACTGCTTCCCCTCACTCACTACCCCCTCCCCCCACCCCAGGACTGTGAGCTTCTGGATCTCTACTATCGCCCCGAGCGTCTCATAGTAACGCACCTGTCGGTGCCTCCAGTGGCCATCCGTCGATCGGTGGTGAAGGAGTTGGCCCGATGTGCCGAGCCTGTTCCTCTGCGCTTCTCAGCTCTGGTTTGCACTGCTTCCCCTCACTCACTACCCACTCCCCCCCACCCCACCCCAGGACTGTGAGCTTCTGGATCTCTACTATCGCCCCGAGCGTCTCATAGTAACACACCTCTCAGTGCCCCCGGTGGCCATCCGGCCGTCCGTGGTGATGGAGTCAGCAGCAGGGAGCAACGAGGACGATGCCACCATGAAGCTGGCGGTGATCATAGAGGTCAACAGCGCGCTTCGATTGGGCATTCAGAAGGGGCTGCCCATGCCCAACCTCGTGGTCAGTGCAGGGTTTCAGTGTTCAAGATTTCAAATTTGGGATTTCGGGATGGCAGCAGTAGTGGGGAGCAACGAGGATGACGCGACCATTAGGTTGGTTAAATGCTTCATCCATGCAGTTCTCATCTATCCCCATCTCTCTTTGCAAAATGTGTATCTTAAACAGGAGAACTGGGACTTTCTGCAACTCCAAGTGGGGCTCTACTTCAACTCGGAGCTCCCGGGCCTGCCGCTGGCAGCGCAGCCCACCAACAAGCCGTGATGCACGTCTCACCTCTCCCCGTCTCTCTCTGTAAATCTGTTCCCTGAAATCCTCTCTGTCAACAGGAGAACTGGGACTTCCTTCAGCTGCAAGTGGGGCTCTACATCAACTCGGAGCTCCCAGGCCTGCCGCTGGCAGCGCAGCCAACGAAGCCGACGCGGGGGTTCGTGCAGCGGCTGAAGGGCAAGCAGGGGCGCTTCCGACAGAACCTGTCGGGCAAGCGCGTGGACTTCAGCGGCCGTACCGTCATCTCCCCCGACCCTAATCTCAAGATCTCCGAGGTGCGTTTGGGGCGGAGGAGCAGTAGTGTGAGAACGGGATTCGTGAGGCGCCTGAAAAGCTGCTAGTAGCGCATCCCACGAAGCCAACAAGGGCAAGCAGGGGCGGTTCCGACAGAACCTGTCGGGCAAGCGCGTCGACTTCAGTGGCCGCACCGTCATCTCCCCCAACCCTAATCTCAAGATCTCCGAGGTGCGTTTGGGGCGGAGGAGCAGCAGTATGAGAATGGGATTCGTGAGGCGCCTGAAAAGCTGCTAGCAGTGCAGCCCACGAAGCCGAGTGGACTTCAGTGGCCGCAACGTCATCTCCCCCAACCCGAACCTCAAGATCTCCGAGGTGCGTGTGTGTTTGGGGAGTGAAGTGTAAGCAGGAGTGAAGTGAGAGGAGGCGTGAAGTGTGAAGAGGAGCGGTAATGTGAGAACTTGACTCTTTAGGCCCCGCACCGTCATCTCCCCCGACCCCAACCTCCAGATCTCCGAGGTGCGTGTGTGTGACGTGGCCGAATGAGCAGTGTGAAGAGGGGTAGTATGGGTGCCCACTCCATATGGCGGCCACTCCCATCCCCTCCTTCAACCTGTTCTGTTCCCTCTGTTCCATGACCCTCTGACCCTCTGAGCCACCAGGTGGCAGTACCCATGCACATGGCGCAGCTGCTGACATTCCCCGAGGCGGTGAGTCGGCACAACATCCACAAGCTGCGGCAGCTGGTCATCAACGGCACCGCCAAGTACCCCGGCGCTAACTTTGTACTCTACCCCAACGGCAACAAGTGGTGAGTGAGTGAGATGGTGCTCCTCAGTGTGTTCTATGTCTGATGCAGAGTGTGATCCGTTGGGTTGCCTCAAGGCAGCTGCTCATCCACGGCACCGCCAAGTACCCCGGCGCTAACTTTGTACTCTACCCCAACGGCAACAAGTGGTGAGTGAGTGAGATGGTGCTCCTCAGTGTGTTCTATGTCTGATGCAGAGTGTGATCCGTTGGGTTGCCTCAAGGCAGCTGCTCATCCACGGCACCGCCAAGTACCCCGGCGCTAACTTTGTACTCTACCCCAACGGCAACAAGTGGTGAGTGAGTGAGATGGTGCTCCTCAGTGTGTTCTATGTCTGATGCAGAGTGTGATCCGTTGGGTTGCCTCAAGGCAGCTGCTCATCCATGGCACCGCCAAGTACCCTGGCGCTAACTTTGTACTCTACCCCAACCCAACGGCAACAAGTGGTGAGTGAGCCTTGGTAACCAAGGGGGAAAAGGGATTAGTGTACGTTTACACAGTGGTGATAGGCACCTGGCTGGAGGGTGGCGACATGGTGCTCTTGTGCTGCTGGTACCTTGATGCTGTTAAATATTGCGTTTTTTTTTAGCCTGTGCTGGATTCTCTCACGCCTTCTCCCTCACTTTGACATAATGGAGAGGCATCTGGAGGATGGCGATGTGGTGCTGTTTATCGCTCTTTATCATCTCATGTTCTCAAGTACGCCTGTGTGCCTCACCCACCGCCCATCCCAGGTTTCTCAAGTACGGGGATCGAAGGCGTGTGGCAGCAGAGCTCAAGTACGGGGACATAGTGGAGAGGCACCTGGAGGATGGCGACATGGTGTTGTTGAGGTGTTGTTCAGTGCTCTTTAGCATGTCATGTTCACACGCCTGTGTGCCTCACCCACCGCCCGTCCCAGGTTTCTCAAGTATGGAGATCGCAGGCGAGTGGCAGCAGAGCTCAAGTACGGGGACATAGTGGAGAGGCACCTGGAGGATGGCGACATGGTGTTGTTCAACCGCCAGCCCAGCCTGCATCGCATGTCCATCATGTGCCATCGGGTAGGGTGCCGCTGCATGGGTAATGCTGCTGCATGGACGGGTGTGTGGGTGATGTGATGTGAGGTTACTTGATACGCGAGGGTGTGAGAGGCGGCACCTGGAGGATGGCGACATGGTGCTGTTCACACCGCATGTGAGGGGTGCATGCGAGGGGTGCAGCATGTGAGGGGTGCAGCATGCGAGGGGTGCAGCATGCGAGGGGTGCATGCCATGTGTGCAATCTCCGCAATGCAGGCTTTTACAGTCCTTAACACCGATCCTTTCCTCCCCTCCGCCTCCCTCACCGCTCATGAAGTGCAGGCGCGGGTGATGCCATGGAAGACACTACGTTTCAATGAGAGTGTGTGCAATCCGTACAACGCGGATTTCGACGGTGACGAGATGAACATGCATGTGCCTCAGACCGAGGAGGCCAGGACTGAGGCGCTGCTGCTCATGGGGGTATGTGCGGCGGTTCAGTGAGTTTCCATGCGGTTTGATGCGTTTTCAAAGCAGTCGGGTTTTGGCGTTGTACTGTTGCGGCATTTTTTGTCATACAGCCAAGCCAACAATCTCTGTTGCTTCCTGTCGTCTCCATCTATCTCCCTCATATCCCTCACTTGAAGAACAATCAGTGTACACCTGATAACCAGCACATTCGTGGGGTGTTTTATGCATCTGAAAATATGTATTCACCTCTTCAGTCCCTATCCCGCTGCTCTCCATCCATCCCTCTGCTCCTCTCCACCTGACATCCTTTGTGGAGAGCAACATCCTGTGCACGCCCAGGAACGGCGGCATCCTTGTGGCCTCTGAGGCGATCCACATCTCATCGCCACCGAGCGTTGCACCAATCTCTCTGGATGTGGTGTCAGGTGGAGAACAACCTGTGCACGCCCAAGAATGGGGAAATCCTCGTGGCCTCCACTCAGGACTTTCTCACCTCCGCCTTCCTCATCACCCGCCGGTACACAGCCACTATTACTTCCCCTCTGCAGTTGTGCTTATAACTGCGTGGTATGATTCCAACCTCTCTTCGGACATTTGCCTTCCTCATTTACAACTGAGCGTCCTTCTGCCTGCTGTGCTCCTACATGACGGACGGGGTGATGCAGGTCGACATCCCCACGCCCACATTGCTCATGCCCATGAACCCATGAGCCCATAAGCTCCGGAGCTCTGGACGGGCAAGCAGGTCATGAGTGCGCCCCTCCCTCTGCTCCGCGAACGACCTGTTGTCAGGGTCACTTTCAGCCCGCGTCATTGACACGCTCGGCGTGCCTTTGTGTCATCTCCACTCAAGAGTCTTGGCATCTCCCCTTCTCTCTGCTCATCCGCCTCTTCCCCCCTCCTCCCCCAGAGACACCTTCTATGATCGAGCCTCCTTCTGCCTGCTGTGCTCGTACATGACGGACGGGGCCATGCAAGTGGACATCCCCACGCCCGCACTGCTCAAGCCCATCGAGCTCTGGACGGGAAAGCAGCTGATCGGCGTGCTCGTGCGCCCCTCCGCGCACGACCGCATCTTTGTCACGCTCGGCGTGCCCGAGAAGACCTACACCAAGAAGGGCGGGCCCTTCTGCGTGAATGATGGGTTCGTGTTCTTCCGCAACAGCGAGCTGCTCTCGGGGCAGCTGGGGAAGGCCACTCTAGGTGAGCGTGTTGGCATGTGTGAGAATGTTCAGGGTGGGTGTGCTGGAGGAAAAGACCTACAGCTAGAAGGGCGGCCCCTTCTGCGTGAATGATGGGTTCGTGTTCTTCCGCAACAGCGAGCTGCTCTCGGGGCAGCTGGGGAAGGCCACTCTAGGTGAGCGTGTTGGCATGTGTGAGAATGTTCAGGGTGGGTGTGCTGGAGGAAAAGACCTACAGCTAGAAGGGCGGCCCCTTCTGCGTGAATGATGGGTTCGTGTTCTTCCGCAACAGCGAGCTGCTCTCGGGGCAGCTGGGGAAGGCCACTCTAGGTGAGCGTGTTGGCATGTGTGAGAATGTTCAGGGTGGGTGTGCTGGAGGAAAAGACCTACAGCTAGAAGGGCGGCCCCTTCTGCGTGAATGATGGGTTCGTGTTCTTTCGCAACAGCGAGCTGCTCTCGGGGCAGCTGGGGAAGGAAGGCCACTCTAGGTGAGCGTGTTGGCATGTGTGAGAATGTTCAGGGTGGGTGTGCTGGAGGAAAATACCTACAGCTAGAAGGGCGGCCCCTTCTGTGTGAACGATGGGTTCGTGTTCTTTCGCAACAGCGAGCTGCTGTCGGGGCAGCTGGGGAAGGCCACTCTAGGTGAGCGTGTTGGCATGTTTGAGAATGGTCAGGGTAGGTGTGCTGGAGGAAAAGACCTACAGCTAGAAGGGCGGGCTGTTCTGTGTGAACGATGGGTTTGTCTTCTTCCGCAACAGCGAGCTGCTGTCGGGTCAGCTGGGGAAGGCCACGCTAGGTGAGCTCGAGCAGTACAAGCAGGCAGTCAGCTAGGAAGATGCATTTTAGGTTCGATTGCAGGGATTATTTTAGAATTCTCAAAAGTTCCCAGCAGGCAGTCAGCCAGGGCGTTTGATGTCCCCCATTGCATTTCAGGGCTGTGACTACTCACTAGCTGGTTTTTGAGAATTCTAAGAAAATCCCAGCAGGCAGTCAGCTAGGAAGATGCATTTTAGGGCGATTTAAGTGCCCCATTGCATTTCAGGGCTGTGACTATTCACTAGCTGGTTTTTGAGAAATCTTGAGTGCACTCATCATTACCTTTCCGCTCACCTCCTCCTCGGTTGTGTGTGTGCATGCAGGCAACGGCAGCAAGCAGGGGCTGTTCGCGCTGCTCATGCGCGAGTACTCGGCTCAAGTGGCTGCCGTTTGCATGAACCGACTCGCCAAGCTCAGGTGAGAGGAGAGGGGGTGGGAAGGGGGGTTGGGGGATGAAAGGAGGGGCGGGGAAGAGGAGAGAGTGTTGGAGTTGACTGGTGTGTACTCGGCACAAGTGGCAGCCGTGTGCATGAACCGACTGGCCAAGCTCAGGTGAGCGGGGGAGGGTGGGGTGAGGGGTGTGAGCGGGTGTTGGAATTGCCTTGTATGAGTACTGTACTCCTCTCCCCTTTTTCTCTCCGCTCTCTGGTACTCTTTCCCCCTTACACACTATACCTCCCCATCCATCCCCAGTGCGAGGTGGATAGGCAACCATGGGTTCTCCATCGGGATCGACGACGTGCAGCCGTCCAAGCATCTGTATGCGGAGAAGCAGAGGGTGGTGGAGGAGGGGTATGATGCCAGTCGATTCCCCTCTCCCCTTCTCTTCCCTCCCCTCCTCTCTCCCCCCTCCCAGTGCGAGGTGGATAGGCAACCACGGCTTTTCCATCGGCATAGACGATGTGCAGCCGTCCAAGCATCTGTACGCGGAGAAGCAGAGGGCCGTGGAGGAGGGGTACGACGCCAGCCTGCGGCACATCCAGGCGTTCAACGAGGGCCGGCTGACGCTGCAGCCCGGGTGCAACCCGGCTCAGACTCTCGAGGCGAATATTACCGGCGAGCTGAACCGGATTCGAGAGGAAGCCGGGAAGGTGAGCGCGTGAAGAGACAAGGCTGAATCATGTATGAAAACTGTGGTGAGCAGGGGGAGCAAGGCGCATGTGTTCAACTCCTGGTGCAACCCGGCTCAGACCCTTGAGGTGAATATTACCGGGGAGCTTTTGAGGCGTCTCAAAAGTCCCTTGAGGTGAATATTACCGGGGAGCTCAACTGGATTTGAGAAGAGGCCGGGAAGGTGAATGGGGGTGGAGGGAGGGGAGTCTGAGTGTTGATAGGCTAGTCTACATGTGATTTGCTTGATTTGCTTGATTTGCAAAATGATCAGTTGGGTAGAGAGGGTCAATCGAACCTCACCGCTCCTGAAGCCAGCCAACCCCCCTCCCTCCCCTCCCTCCCTTCGAACCATGGAACCATTGCAGGTGTCTCTTCGCGAGCTGCATTGGCGCAGCAGCCCACGCACGCATCATGCCACGGTGCGGCTTTAAGGGGTCCAGAAGAGCACCAACGGTCAACAAAAATGAGGACGGAGAGAGGATTAATTCATGTAGCGCCTAACTCCCCCCTCCCCCACGCCCCTCGCCCCTCTCTTTCCCCCACACCCGCCCAGGTGTGTCTGCGGGAGCTGCATTGGCGCAACAGTCCGCTCATCATGTCCCAGTGCGGGTCCAAGGGGTCGCCCATCAACATATCGCAGATGGTGGCCTGTGTGGGCCAGCAGTCCGTGGGCGGCAAGCGCGCGCCCAATGGGTTCCTGCACCGTTCCCTGCCGCACTTCCCCCGCCACGACCGCTCGCCCCAGGTGTGCAGTGCGGTGCTGGGGATTATATAACGGTGCTGCTGGGTCTGGTATGGTATGGTGGCGCGCGGTTCTCTGCGGTACGACTGGTCTGGTCAGCGATCCGTAGGTGTGTAGTGCGGTGTAGTGTGGTGGGTCCAGTGTCTGCGCAGTGTGGGTCCAAGGGGTCGCCCATCAACATATCGCAGATGGTGGCCTGTGTGGGCCAGCAGTCCGTGGGCGGCAAGTGCGCTCCCAACAGCTTCCTCCACCGCTCCCTGCCGCACTTCCCCGCCACGACCGCTCGCCCCAGGTGTGCAGTGCGGTGCTGCTGGTGCGTGGTGTGGTGGTGCGTGGTTGTCTGTGGTATGGTGTAGGACCTGGTCTGGTCTGCGATCTGTAGGCGTGTAGCGCGGTCTAGTGCGGTGCAGCGCTGTGCCGTGCAGTACAATGCAGCACACAGCTGAACAGTGCGCCATGCAGCATAATTGCGCCACATTTCTCCGCACAGATTTGGCTTGTACCTAAAGGGAAGTCCTGAAATTCCGTGCTCTTTGTTCAGCTCAAACTCAACCTTCCCATTCCCTCCGCTCCCGCAACACTTCCTCACCACTACTGCCACCACACCATCACCACAACTGCAGGCGAAGGGCTTTGTGGCAAACTCATTCTACAGCGGACTCACACCCACCGAGTTTGTGTTCCACACCATGGGAGGCCGAGAGGGTCTCGTTGACACTGCTGTGAGTGCCCATGTGCTCTCTTCCTCTGTAAACCTCTTGTGCACTATCTCGCCCTGTTGCAGGTTCACAGTCTCGCCCTGTTGCAGGTTCACAGTCTCGCCCTGTTGCAGGTTCACAGTCTCGCCCTGTTGCAGGTTCACAGTCTCGCCCTGTTGCAGGTTCACATTGAAACTCCACCACTTTCTTTTCCTCCTCCCCCCTCAGTCTCCCCCTCCCGGATTGCTTTCCCTCTCCACGTCACCGTGCCACCCCCCTCCTCCCCCCTCATTTGAATCCCCAGGTGAAAACAGCAGAGACGGGGTACATGTCACGGCGGCTGATGAAGGCGCTGGAGGATCTGTCAGTGGCGTATGACGGCACGGTGCGGAACGCGAGTGGAGGCATCGTGCAGATGCGGTATGGTGATGATGGCATGGACCCCGCCCACATGGAGGGGAGTGACGGAGGGGCTCTGAATTTGGACCGCACATTCACCACGTGCCAGGTGGGTGGGTGGTGGGAGGATGGGAGGACAGGAGGATGGCTGAAGGGTACAAAGCTCCTTGTTCCCTTTTTATTCTCCTTTTTCACACTTTTTTTTCTCTCTCCCCATTTCACTCTCCCCTTTTACTCTCCCTTTTCACTCCCCCACTGTTCTCTCCCCCCCTCCCTTTCTCGTCCCCTCCCGCTCACCCTTTTTCTCGTCCCCCCAACTCCTCTGCCCCTCGTTCACCAGGCCCTACGCCCCATGCGCAGCGACCCCCCGCTCTTCCCCGACGAGATGCGCGCGCACATGCAGACAAGATTCGCCGCCCCAGAGTATGCCGACCCAGAGTCAGAGGGCGGCTGCTCCACTCGGTTCCGAGACTCGGTACTCGGCTTTCTGGACAAGCAGCTGGGGGCGATCGAGGGGACAAGGCGGCGACTAGGGATACCGGTTACCAAGGAGGAGGCGGAGAGAGGAGGGAGGGAGGGAGAAGGGGAGGGAGGGAGGGGGGAGGGGGAGGGGGATGCTATGGAGGTGGAGGGGAAGGATGGGAAGGAGGGGGAGGCGAGTGTGGGTACTGGGAAAGCGGAGGGGGAGGGGGAGGGGAAAGGGGACGGGGAGCGAGAAGGCGAGGGGAAGAAGGAGGTGTTGGAGAGAGGGGTGGCCGAGAAGGTGGCTCGGAACCTGTGTGGGGTGACAGCCAAGCAACTGCAGGTGAGACGGCAGGAAGTAGCATAACATCTCAACAACACACCCCTTGTTTCCTCTCCAGAAATGGGGGCATGCTGTATGAAGAAGTGGCATGCCTCTCCCGTTTCGCCCTATATGACTCTCATCCACTTCATTCTCTGCCTCCCTCATGTCCCTTCCCCACCCTCAACCCCATCCCTTCCCCATTTGTTCCTGGACACATGCATTCGCCGCTACCAGTCGAAGCACATGGAGTCGGGCACAGCAGTGGGGGCCATTGGGGCACAGCAGTGGGGGGCATTGGGGCACATTCGATCTTCTGTCTTCTCTTTCCGCTCCTCCTCCCCCAACAACACACCTTCACCAGCTATTCCTGGACACATGCATTTGCCGCTACCAGTCAAAGCGCATGGAGCCGGGCACAGCAGTGGGGGCCATCGGGGCACAATCCATCGGCGAGCCGGGCACACAGATGACTCTCAAGACCTTCCATTTCGCCGGTGTTGCTTCCATGAGTGAGTGAATGTGAATGTGAATGTGAATGTGAATGTGAATGTGAATGTGAATGTGAATGTACAGGCGTGCCACTGCAGCCGTGGATGTGTTGTGAGTTGAGACAGCGCAAAACAGAGCAGTGGGGGCCACTGGAGCGCAGTCAATCGGCGAGCCGGCCACACAAATGACTCTCAAGACCTTCCATTTCGCCGGGGTTGCCTCCATGAGTGAGTGCTGACCTAGGCCTTTCACATCAGTCTGCACTCGTCACACTCCCATCGTGTGCAGCAACTGTCCGTCCCCCATGCCCTCCTCCTCAACAGCCCAGCACCCAGAATACCCTCAAGAAATGACATAAAGCTGGCAAATAATCGCCACTAATCGTCCATCTCCCTTTCTTTCATCCTCTCTACCCACCCAGACGTGACCCTGGGAGTGCCGCGAATCAAGGAGATCATCAACGCAGCCAAGAACATCAGCACGCCCATCGTGACAGTCAAGCTGGAGACGGACAACGATGTCAAGGCCGCGCGCATTGTGAAGGGCCGCATCGAGAAGACGACGCTGGGGGAGGTGAGTACCAATAGATAAGACCACTCTGGGGGAGGTGGGTGCATACAATAACCACAGCTTTCACTATAGTCACTAGTCACTACTGTAGTTGCCACGCTCACTACAGTCACCACAATTACCATAGTCACTTTACTCGCACCTCTCACCCACACACCCACACAACCCCTCAAGCCTTGTCTTTCACGCCCCAATACATTTCAGGTGGTGAAGAGCATGAAAACCGTGCTCACTCCCAGCCAGGCTATGCTCTCAATCCGCCTGGACATGCATCGAATCAGCGCTCTCCAGCTCCACATCACTGCCTACACCGTGGCCGACGCCATCACAACGGCATCGCGCCTCCGCATGAAGCTGAAGGCGCAGCACATCCGCGTGGTGAGCGCGGACAAGCTGCTCGTGTACTCGCCCGAGCAGGACCGCCGCCAGCTGCTCTTCTCGCTGCACAGCCTGCGGAAGAAGCTGCCGCAAGTGATGGTCAAGGGCATCGCGAGTGTTGAAAGGGCTGTTATTAACGACCTGGGCGGAGGGAAATACAACCTGCTGGTGGAAGGGTGAGTGGGGGATGGGGGTGAGGGAGAATGTGTGTGGGGATGGTGGTGAAGGAGAATGCTGTGATACACATCTGCACCGCTCCCCACACCCATACTCGTCCCTCGCACCCCTGCATGTATGTGCCCCACACTCACCCATGCTTGTTCGCAGAACCAACTTCGGGGCCGTGCTGGGGATACGAGGGGTGGACGGGTGCAAGACGAAGAGCAATCACGTGATGGAGGTGGAGAGTGTGTTGGGGATAGAGGCGGCACGGTATGCCATCTTTCCCATTTGCATCCCTTCCCCACTCCACTTGGTTGCTTGCAGGACCAACTTCGGAGCAGTATTGGGGATAACAGGAGTGGATGGGTGCAAGACAAAGAGCAATCACGTGATGGAGGTGGAGAGTGTGTTGGGGATAGAGGCTGCGCGGTATGCCATCATGCACGAGATCAACTACACCATGGGGTCGCACGGCATGACCATCGACCCCAGACACATGATGCTGCTCGCTGACGTCATGACCTACAAGGTGAGCCGCTGCTGACGTCATGACGTGCAAGGTGAGGAGCTGTAGGTCTCACTCACTCCGTTGGACCTTGGTCCCAACCATTCATCTCCTGCGAATCCCACTGCCCTTTCTTCTCCCCCTCCCTTTCCCTCTCCCGCCTCCTCCTTGTATCCCCCCCCCCCGCCAGGGCGAGGTGTTGGGAATCACGCGGTTTGGCATAGCCAAGATGAAGGACAGCGTGCTCATGCTGGCATCGTTCGAAAAGACAACGGACCACCTCTTTGATGCAGCCGTGCACGGGCGCAAGGACGAGATTGAGGGCGTGTCCGAGTGCATCATCATGGGCATCCCCATGCCCGTTGGCACAGGGCTGTTCAAACTGAAGCAGAAGTGAGTGGCGGGATGGGGTTGTGAGGGGTGCACAGGCGCAAGGACGAGATTGAGGGGGTTTCCGAGTCCATCATCATGGGCATCCCCATGCCCGTCGGTACTGGGCTGTTTAAGTTGAAGCAGAAGTGAGTGGGATGGGGTTGTGAGGGGTGCACGGGCGCAAGGACGAGATTGAGGGCGTGTCCGAGTGCATCATCATGGGCATCCCCATGCCCGTTGGCACAGGGCTGTTCAAACTGAAGCAGAAGTGAGTGGCGGGATGGGGTTGTGAGGGGTGCACGGGCGCAAGGACAAGATTGAGGGGGTTTCCGAGTGCATCATCATGGGCATCCCCATGCCCGTCGGTACTGGGCTGTTTAAGTTGAAGCAGAAGTGAGTGGGATGGGGTTGTCAGGGGTGTGTCCTGGCAGAAGTGAGGGGTGCACGGGCGCAAGGATAAGATTGAGGGGGTCTCAGAATGCATGATCACGGGCATCCCCATGCCTGTGGGGACAGGGCTGTTCAAGCTCAAGCAGAAGTGAGTATTCAGATGGGGTTGTGGGGGTTGAGGTGGTGGTGGGTATGGGAATGTGAGATCCCTGTGCTTGTCTGTAAGGCTGTGCATAGTTGCACAGGACAAGGTCATAGGACAAGGTCAAGGGTCAAGGACAAGGTCATAGGACAAGGTCAAGGGTCAAGGACAAGGTCATAGGACAAGGTCAAGGGTCAAGGACAAGGTCATAGGACAAGGTCAAGGGTCAAGGACAAGGTCATAGGACAAGGTCAAGGGTCAAGGACAAGGTCATAGGACAAGGTCAAGGGTCAAGGACAAGGTCATAGGACAAGGTCAAGGGTCAAGGACAAGGTCATAGGACAAGGTCAAGGGTCAAGGACAAGGTCATAGGACAAGGTCAAGGGTCAAGGACAAGGTCATAGGACAAGGTCAAGGGTCAAGGACAAGGTCATAGGACAAGGTCAAGGGTCAAGGACAAGGTCATAGGACAAGGTCAAGGGTCAAGGACAAGGTCATAGGACAAGGTCAAGGGTCAAGGACAAGGTCATAGGACAAGGTCAAGGGTCAAGGACAAGGTCATAGGACAAGGTCAAGGGTCAAGGACAAGGTCATAGGACAAGGTCAAGGGTCAAGGACAAGGTCATAGGACAAGGTCAAGGGTCAAGGACAAGGTCATAGGACAAGGTCAAGGGTCAAGGACAAGGTCATAGGACAAGGTCAAGGGTCAAGGACAAGGTCATAGGACAAGGTCAAGGGTCAAGGACAAGGTCATAGGACAAGGTCAAGGGTCAAGGACAAGGTCATAGGACAAGGTCAAGGGTCAAGGACAAGGTCATAGGACAAGGTCAAGGGTCAAGGACAAGGTCATAGGACAAGGTCAAGGGTCAAGGACAAGGTCATAGGACAAGGTCAAGGGTCAAGGACAAGGTCATAGGACAAGGTCAAGGGTCAAGGACAAGGTCATAGGACAAGGTCAAGGGTCAAGGACAAGGTCATAGGACAAGGTCAAGGGTCAAGGACAAGGTCATAGGACAAGGTCAAGGGTCAAGGACAAGGTCATAGGACAAGGTCAAGGGTCAAGGACAAGGTCATAGGACAAGGTCAAGGGTCAAGGACAAGGTCATAGGACAAGGTCAAGGGTCAAGGACAAGGTCATAGGACAAGGTCAAGGGTCAAGGACAAGGTCATAGGACAAGGTCAAGGGTCAAGGACAAGGTCATAGGACAAGGTCAAGGGTCAAGGACAAGGTCATAGGACAAGGTCAAGGGTCAAGGACAAGGTCATAGGACAAGGTCAAGGGTCAAGGACAAGGTCATAGGACAAGGTCAAGGGTCAAGGACAAGGTCATAGGACAAGGTCAAGGGTCAAGGACAAGGTCATAGGACAAGGTCAAGGGTCAAGGACAAGGTCATAGGACAAGGTCAAGGGTCAAGGACAAGGTCATAGGACAAGGTCAAGGGTCAAGGACAAGGTCATAGGACAAGGTCAAGGGTCAAGGACAAGGTCATAGGACAAGGTCAAGGGTCAAGGACAAGGTCATAGGACAAGGTCAAGGGTCAAGGACAAGGTCATAGGACAAGGTCAAGGGTCAAGGACAAGGTCATAGGACAAGGTCAAGGGTCAAGGACAAGGTCATAGGACAAGGTCAAGGGTCAAGGACAAGGTCATAGGACAAGGTCAAGGGTCAAGGACAAGGTCATAGGACAAGGTCAAGGGTCAAGGACAAGGTCATAGGACAAGGTCAAGGGTCAAGGACAAGGTCATAGGACAAGGTCAAGGGTCAAGGACAAGGTCATAGGACAAGGTCAAGGGTCAAGGACAAGGTCATAGGACAAGGTCAAGGGTCAAGGACAAGGTCATAGGACAAGGTCAAGGGTCAAGGACAAGGTCATAGGACAAGGTCAAGGGTCAAGGACAAGGTCATAGGACAAGGTCAAGGGTCAAGGACAAGGTCATAGGACAAGGTCAAGGGTCAAGGACAAGGTCATAGGACAAGGTCAAGGGTCAAGGACAAGGTCATAGGACAAGGTCAAGGGTCAAGGACAAGGTCATAGGACAAGGTCAAGGGTCAAGGACAAGGTCATAGGACAAGGTCAAGGGTCAAGGACAAGGTCATAGGACAAGGTCAAGGGTCAAGGACAAGGTCATAGGACAAGGTCAAGGGTCAAGGACAAGGTCATAGGACAAGGTCAAGGGTCAAGGACAAGGTCATAGGACAAGGTCAAGGGTCAAGGACAAGGTCATAGGACAAGGTCAAGGGTCAAGGACAAGGTCATAGGACAAGGTCAAGGGTCAAGGACAAGGTCATAGGACAAGGTCAAGGGTCAAGGACAAGGTCATAGGACAAGGTCAAGGGTCAAGGACAAGGTCATAGGACAAGGTCAAGGGTCAAGGACAAGGTCATAGGACAAGGTCAAGGGTCAAGGACAAGGTCATAGGACAAGGTCAAGGGTCAAGGACAAGGTCATAGGACAAGGTCAAGGGTCAAGGACAAGGTCATAGGACAAGGTCAAGGGTCAAGGACAAGGTCATAGGACAAGGTCAAGGGTCAAGGACAAGGTCATAGGACAAGGTCAAGGGTCAAGGACAAGGTCATAGGACAAGGTCAAGGGTCAAGGACAAGGTCATAGGACAAGGTCAAGGGTCAAGGACAAGGTCATAGGACAAGGTCAAGGGTCAAGGACAAGGTCATAGGACAAGGTCAAGGGTCAAGGACAAGGTCATAGGACAAGGTCAAGGGTCAAGGACAAGGTCATAGGACAAGGTCAAGGGTCAAGGACAAGGTCATAGGACAAGGTCAAGGGTCAAGGACAAGGTCATAGGACAAGGTCAAGGGTCAAGGACAAGGTCATAGGACAAGGTCAAGGGTCAAGGACAAGGTCATAGGACAAGGTCAAGGGTCAAGGACAAGGTCATAGGACAAGGTCAAGGGTCAAGGACAAGGTCATAGGACAAGGTCAAGGGTCAAGGACAAGGTCATAGGACAAGGTCAAGGGTCAAGGACAAGGTCATAGGACAAGGTCAAGGGTCAAGGACAAGGTCATAGGACAAGGTCAAGGGTCAAGGACAAGGTCATAGGACAAGGTCAAGGGTCAAGGACAAGGTCATAGGACAAGGTCAAGGGTCAAGGACAAGGTCATAGGACAAGGTCAAGGGTCAAGGACAAGGTCATAGGACAAGGTCAAGGGTCAAGGACAAGGTCATAGGACAAGGTCAAGGGTCAAGGACAAGGTCATAGGACAAGGTCAAGGGTCAAGGACAAGGTCATAGGACAAGGTCAAGGGTCAAGGACAAGGTCATAGGACAAGGTCAAGGGTCAAGGACAAGGTCATAGGACAAGGTCAAGGGTCAAGGACAAGGTCATAGGACAAGGTCAAGGGTCAAGGACAAGGTCATAGGACAAGGTCAAGGGTCAAGGACAAGGTCATAGGACAAGGTCAAGGGTCAAGGACAAGGTCATAGGACAAGGTCAAGGGTCAAGGACAAGGTCATAGGACAAGGTCAAGGGTCAAGGACAAGGTCATAGGACAAGGTCAAGGGTCAAGGACAAGGTCATAGGACAAGGTCAAGGGTCAAGGACAAGGTCATAGGACAAGGTCAAGGGTCAAGGACAAGGTCATAGGACAAGGTCAAGGGTCAAGGACAAGGTCATAGGACAAGGTCAAGGGTCAAGGACAAGGTCATAGGACAAGGTCAAGGGTCAAGGACAAGGTCATAGGACAAGGTCAAGGGTCAAGGACAAGGTCATAGGACAAGGTCAAGGGTCAAGGACAAGGTCATAGGACAAGGTCAAGGGTCAAGGACAAGGTCATAGGACAAGGTCAAGGGTCAAGGACAAGGTCATAGGACAAGGTCAAGGGTCAAGGACAAGGTCATAGGACAAGGTCAAGGGTCAAGGACAAGGTCATAGGACAAGGTCAAGGGTCAAGGACAAGGTCATAGGACAAGGTCAAGGGTCAAGGACAAGGTCATAGGACAAGGTCAAGGGTCAAGGACAAGGTCATAGGACAAGGTCAAGGGTCAAGGACAAGGTCATAGGACAAGGTCAAGGGTCAAGGACAAGGTCATAGGACAAGGTCAAGGGTCAAGGACAAGGTCATAGGACAAGGTCAAGGGTCAAGGACAAGGTCATAGGACAAGGTCAAGGGTCAAGGACAAGGTCATAGGACAAGGTCAAGGGTCAAGGACAAGGTCATAGGACAAGGTCAAGGGTCAAGGACAAGGTCATAGGACAAGGTCAAGGGTCAAGGACAAGGTCATAGGACAAGGTCAAGGGTCAAGGACAAGGTCATAGGACAAGGTCAAGGGTCAAGGACAAGGTCATAGGACAAGGTCAAGGGTCAAGGACAAGGTCATAGGACAAGGTCAAGGGTCAAGGACAAGGTCATAGGACAAGGTCAAGGGTCAAGGACAAGGTCATAGGACAAGGTCAAGGGTCAAGGACAAGGTCATAGGACAAGGTCAAGGGTCAAGGACAAGGTCATAGGACAAGGTCAAGGGTCAAGGACAAG